AAATCGTCATGGAATATTTTAAAGGAAAATGTCAATGAAACTTTTATAAAATTAAACGAAAATGAACATTCTACTGATGATCAAGTAGAAACTAATAAAGATGCGATTTTATCCTCTTACTGCATTGCTTGCAAAAATTGCTCTATTTGTCGTTATAATATATTATTCAGATATAAAGTGTTAAGTGACACTTATTCTGTACTTGGTCAAGCATACAAATATCTGCTATCTATGTCTGTAACACAAGTGTCCCGTGAAGAAAGCTTTTCTATGTTAAAATTAATTAAAAGCCGGCTAAGATACTTATAAATATCTCGCAAGAAAATCTAGAAGCCTCCGTGTTAATGTCAGTAGAGAAGGATTTTTTAAACGAAATACATTCTGATGATGTCATTAATATTATTGCTCAACAAAGCAAACTTCTAAATAAAAAATTAATATTGTAGAATATAGACTTGTGCTTATTGTAATTTTTGTCAATGTTATATTTTGAATACATTTAAATATAAATAGAAAAAAATACATTTTTTTTTATTTGTGGGCTAGGCTGGTAATAAATTTTCCACACAAAAATGTTAGGGCCAGTCCGCCCCTGGATCTGACAATATGACTTTTTGACCCCAAGTTAAGTAGGGCTTGTTTACGCCATTCATTGTCTACAACTTGTAAATCAACATTAACATTTTTAAACTTTTTAAACAATGGCTCCAAAAACCTCACTGTTAAATTTTTCGAATTTTCAGATTCAAGCAAAAGCAGATATGAAAAAATGTCATTACTGAAATCAAATCTGGCATAGATTTCTTTTACAAGTGTACAATAAAAACTTTTACAATAAAAGCATCAGATCACAGGGCAGTTTTATCCTAGATTTACCCTCCTAAATATAAGACTGTATCATGAATTTTAGGGGGATATGAAAGATGAGAATCCCAGTTCCAGTCGGAAAAAGGGACATCCTCCCCCGACCCTACATTGGGATACAAGTCCAATGCAGCGCCACTACACACACAGGTGCAAGCACCTGACAGGAAGGGAAGCCAAACGAAAACACTCAGTTCGAGCCGGGGACAGAATGCTTCCAGCACTTGCTGGATTGGCAATAGAGATGCAGTGGGGGTTAACCCAAAGCATCAAAATGCTGCTGGGAACAGGAAACTAATGCCTCGACCATCCCCAGCAGGACAGAGGCCAGCTAGGGCCGGAAGTTAAACTTCTACCGAACACCCTAGAAGGACCAAAACAAGCCAGGACTGAGAAACCGTGCCTGCAACCAGCCAAGGCACGTAAACGATGTAGTTCCGCTTGATCGCTCCCGGCCTTTTAAATGGCGAAGGAAACAACACAGGACAGACATAATTTTGGCTAAGTTCAAATGTGTATCTGTCTTCATGTGTAGTGACACATGAAGACATACACATTTGAACTTAGCCAAAATTGTAAGGATTTTGCCCAGTACGCTAAGAGATTGAAATTACCCTAGAAACAGCAGCACTGGCATCAAATATTCGAAGCAGAACGAAAACATATGTAAAGCACGTGCCTAAGTTTAGTGTTGCCAGCTATAATCTTTTATTTCCGACAACTTTATTTTTTTTTTTTTTCTATACTTAAAATATATTTTACACAAGAAAAATTCGTAAGTTAATGAATAAATTATAATTTTTTTAGCTTATCAAGTGAAATAAAAATTTAATCTTGTCGTAGACACATAAATTAATACGTAATTTGACGGCTGGATGATGGATCCCTTTTTTTTCTAACTCTCCGTCCTATGAGCTCAAAGCGGGCCATCTTACCAAGTCTTTAGTGGGTTCGGCCAGGTCCACAATGTGGTAGTGCCGAACCACCCCCGAAATATTCTTGGAATTTTTCGATTCGTCCGGACTCGATCCCAGGTCCCCCAAAGCGTTACTCTGCCATGTTAACTGTTCAATCATCCGGCCTTCCATTCTTTGGGGATGGGGAGATGGCCCACATTAGAAATTTGAACTATGCCTGAATTTAACTTCTCTCTGAATATGAACACTAATCAAACATGGAAACATTACTTCACCTAGTTCCTCTGCAACACAAGCAAGCCCATTTTGTGTTTGATCGGGCCCACAATGGGAAAGTCGGGTGATGAGGGACAGGGTTTGACTTATTGGGATAGACCACCTCCAAAAAATTCCTGGAATTTTTTCATTCATCTGGATTTGATCCTGAGTCCCCCAGAGTGGTAGGCTGCAACTTTAATTGCCACTGGCCATTTTAATTGAATTTGTGGTTTTAACTAAAATAAATGAAGAAATGAAGGAATTATATACTTTTATTGATAATAAAACACATTTTATTTTTTTCCATTAACAAAAAAATTCCTGTTGCATACAGCAAAATGGAGTTCAATTAGTTTCTTTTAATAAATGAAAATATATATTCTAAATATGTCAACAATAACAGAAAACAATAAAATTCTAAATTAATCTGACAAATATTCATTTAGACTAATATAAGTAAATATTTTAACTTTTTTGAAACAAAGAAACAAGACAACATACAGGATATTGTTGTAATGATTTTGTATTTCTTGAATCACCTTTTGTTTTGTTTGATATTTTATACTGTTTCATTAACGTAGAAAGTACGCTGCATACGGGATACAGATGCTCGGCACTAATGGACATTCTGTTCAAAGCGCCGCCTTTGGATATGCCGTGTAATTTTTGCAATTGTGTATTTTCGTCGTCATTGATCTGTAGATTTTCTTTATCTTTGTCAGTAACTTCTACGGCAGGGATGCTCAGATGTATTTTGCTATTTTGATCATCTAAGTCCAATTTAATTTCAGATATATCCAGTTCTCTGTGACCGGAGTTAACTTTCAAGGGTGTACTAGTTAGATGTTTTGCATTGGTTAATGGAAAACACTTCACATCATGCTTCTTTGTAATATGCAATTCTTCCACACTTTTTATTTGTTTGATGGCAATTTCTGAACAGTTTAAAGATTCCAAGTACTTAATTACATGGCTATTTTTGTTGAGATTGGTTTTCTGATGTGACAATCCATCTATCAAATTTTCTCCTAAACAATCTAAAAATGAATATTTATCTACAGGCGATATACTAAATGAAGGAAATACATCATCATCACAAACACTCACATTTTTCATTGTAGAAAATTTTATATTTCCACTTTTATCATATTCAATTTCATTGAAACTAAGCTCGTAATTTGAAGACTCACAAACATTACGTGGGAATTCAATAGATTCTCTGCTGTAATTAATTAATCCCTCTGATTCAGTAATTGCAGTGCTAAAATCTGTTATATCTGTCCACTCATCATCACTTAAAGTTGATTCTTCTTTTAATTCCTTAGAAATTCCAAAATTTAAATTTTTCTTCTTGTTTTTTGCATAGGGAAGAGTAAATGAAGAATTTGTCATTTTAGTTTGCCAAATATCTATAGGATTATATTTATTCTTAATCCAATTCTTTGTCACTTTTGCCATCTTCCTTAATCTGTATAAAAGATGAAATTATATAATGAATTTGTTTCATTTTTTCTCTACTTAATTAGCAATTTACAGTAGAAGTTTGTGAATCTGACACTGAAGGGACCAGGTGGCTGGATAACCAAATGGTAAAGGTATGAACAGGACTGTTGAAAGCTTATATGGAGCCCGGGTAGAGTGAGTCCACTTTTCCATTATTTCTTTTTGAACAATAAAATACATAAAATATTTATTAATAAAAAAACAGTCTTAAAGATTCTGTTTTCTGTTAGTAAAAATAACATTAATTTATTGGATATGAACCACTACAGATGTCTAAATTTTCTGTGGTCCCAAAAAAAAATCACCAGCTCCCCCTTCTTGATTGTCCTGGATGCCAGCATACTGCTCTGGAGAATCCAAAAACAAATCTAGTCAGGTTGTAAAATCATAGCATATTTGTGGATGATCTATTCTGGATATGTCAGGCTTTGTCCCTCGTCAATCAGTTGCCCCATTGTGAGCCTAGCTGGATACACAAATGGGCTTGATAAAAGAAGCCCCTCTTAGTGCCCACAGAACAAGAGTTTAAAAAAAGGAAGATACCTAAGGGACCACAAGTAGTGCAGCATTATCAAACAAATTGGATTACCAGAAGTTTTTGTATTTTCACAAAATTCAATAAGTTATATGCAATCCAAATGTTTCAGACATTGCTGTATACATATTTTATACCAGAATATCCTGCTGTGTGCTTTACCTACTCATTAAACGGCCTGAAGATAATATAGTGCACAACTATACTATGCTAAGATTTATTGAAAAACCTAAAAAACATTAATGAACACATTGGCCCATCCCCACCTTTGCCTCAATTTCCACCCAGTTCTGGAGTACATATCCAAGCAAATTTTGATTTGCAGAATACTCACATGCTGGATTATCAGTTATTTTTCAGAGGATGCCAGATTACAGAACATTCTGCATTATTGTATTCCAAATGAACAAACTTCTACTGTATAATCTAATAACTATGACAGAATATTATTGTTCAATTAGTGTCAAGAAAATATAATGAATGAATCAAAATTTCAATAGTCATCATTCAACTTTCTTCATATTATGCATTATGAGATCTAAAAAACTGTTAAAGGTAGGGTCACACTAAATGCTTTCTGAGCAGAAAAATGCATTTTAAAATAGAAAAAGCAAATCATTTATGACTGAAAGAAGGCTGAAAACAACATTCAACAATCTCAACTTCTCTGTTTCTGAATATTATTGAAATGTCATATTCAAATAATAAGACAGAAAGGAAGACATGACATTTCTGGATGGCTCTAGATCAGGGGTGGCCAACAGTTTTTGCCCCTGGGCCAAATTGGAAAGAAAACTTTTTTCACAGGCCGAACCAGAGGCTGTCCTAGGAAGATTTTGAGGTGGTGTGAGATCTCATTGTGGTGTCATCCCGTAGAGACTAAATTGTACATAGAGATTACAGATACATTTTTCACACTATCATGCTTTATCAATATGCTACATTGTACTTAAGAGATTTGTAATGGAGGGTTATCTGTAAACGCATGGTGAGTTGTTGACCTTTTTTTCGGCATCAGAATTTTTCACCGAGCTATTCGGATTTGAGTAGCTAATATTGAAAGATTAATCGTGGGCCACATAAATTCATCAGATGGGTAGTATGTTGGTCATGCCTGTTGTTACACTTTGTGCAGTCATATAAGACTGTATTCAGACAGGGTCTTCTCACATTACATTACATCTGGCCTATCAAAGAATGCATTTATAATGCATTAAATAACACTTTCTTTGATTAGTCATGCATAACATAACATAATGTAAGAATAGCCTGTCTGAATGCAGCCTAATGTATCAGTGTTCATAAAAAGGAAATAAAAAAGTGAATGAAATGTTTTTCCTGCCTAAATATTTCTGAGCATAAAACATCTAATGGATTCCTATCTTTAAGATGTGAAAAATAAAAAACAACATAATTATTTGACTTCAAAAATCTAAAATAATATTTTTACTAGGGCAGGAGCTTTGCTATAGTCTGATATATAATTAACAAATTCAGAAATTTAAATGGAAGCTATTACTATGAAATAATGATATTAAGTGGGTCAGATATATGACTATACATTCTTTACAATTAATTCTAAAACCAAACAAAAAGCCAGGAAAACTCAATCACAGATAAAAGAGACATATTAAAGTTAAAAATTGAAGATAAATTAAGATGAAAAGCTGTTAATTTCATAATAAAAACAAAGATGAATAAATAATAAAAGTACTACTATTCAAAAAACTGGGTAAACTTGATACAAGGCTACAAAGAAACCAAATAACCAGCAAAAAATTTGGAAAGTGCTAACATTTTTGCCTGTGTTGAATGGGCATCCTCAGGCTAACCAATCCTGCAGCTGTTGAAAAACTGTGTAAAAGAGAGTGACCTAAGGAGAGGGAGGGGGGAAAGGAGAGTAAGTTTACAGTTCAAAGAAAGCTGTGAAGAAGGAGTCTACATCAGGAAAATTAAGTGGTATTTTTGCAGGCAGCCTTATTTACCCTCCTCTCAGGTCACCTTTTTCACACATGTACAGCAATTCATCATTGTTTCAACAGCTGCGGGATTAGTTAGCCTGAGGATGTCCATTCAACACAGGCAAAAACATTAGCACTTGCCAACTTTTTGCTGGTTATTTGGTTTCTTTGTAGCTTTGTATACATAATAAAAGTAAAAATTCTGATAAGAATGCTGGTATATTTGCTAATGATGACAAATGTATCTTGTTCATATAAGTTGTTAATAAATAAGGAAAAAAATGAATATCCTATATCAGGAGTGGCGAACCTTTTTGAGTCTGCGTGTTGCATATTAAGCATACTTTTCTTTAAAAATGTTTGTGTGTGCAGAAGTTTTAGACTTCTAGTAACTATATTTAAATTCAGCCGAATGGACAAGCGGTCAAAGTGGTAGCTTATCGCTCTTGTGGACCTGAGATCAAAACCCCAGAAAATTTTCAGGTAGTGATCCATTCTTCACCACCTGACTGTTCCATTTGAAGTTTGCTAAATAAAAAAGCCCTCTTAGTGCCCACAGNGCATATATTCCAGTCACTAAGAACTCTTCTAATAGATAGTATATAATAAAAAAAATTGTCAACCAATAATTAAATGTTATACTAATATTAATACAGTATTACACCAATTATCCAGTTCCCAGAAATCCAGAATTATCAGAAAACTGGCTTGTTTTGAATTTGCTGGGCTATAGTGGAAGTTGCACAGCTATAGTTTATCATGCAATCACTTTGTTTTGATTTCTGTGGCATAAGTGTCATACAACACCAATTCTAGCATGAATGTTGTCATATGGTGTATTAAAAACAGTTTTGTTCTTTTAATTTTTATCTTACAATATAGACATTATACTTTATACATGATATTTTATATCTTTAATAACATCTAATCAACAGACTAACATTCTAAATCAGAGAGTATGCAAATATAACTTCAGATTCTGAACTAATTACCTGCAGAATAAATGATTTTAACTTGTGAAAACTCATTGCATTTTGAAATAAAACTTGAAAACATGTTGAAAATTTAAGACTAAAATAAGAAACATGGAACTATCAATAAAAAAAAACAGTTTATCAAACATTGAAGCAGGGAAATAATAACACAAAATTGGCTATTCATGTTTATTATTATTTTGCACACTTTATAGTTGGGCAACCTTCAAAATAGAATTTCCATAGGTGGAGAACTACTCCATAAAACTGAACTGACAAGTTAGAAGCAACCTGAGAACTTTGATGTAATAGAAGTTTAATTTAGACTTGGTGCATGATAGTTTACAATATGAAAGAAGTTACAAGTTTACACTAAAGAGCCACTATGAACTAAAAACAGAAACTAACTAAAACAAAATATTGTCTGCATCCTACTATGTGACACAACTAAGTTAGGGTGTGAGTGGTGAGAAAGGTTTCAACACTATTTGTGAAAAGTTGATTAGTCAAACAAATCAAAGTATGGATATTCTCAAATCCTAAGAAACTGGTCAAATACTCAATGAAAAGTGGCAATTCATATCCACTTGGTTGCAGTTCTTATGACAATGTGAACCTAGCTTTCACCTTAATTAGTTAACATCTTAATTAGCTAATAACAACAATACTAGATTCAGTGTACAGTGTCCTAAGATGTGATTGTGTCAAGTTTCTTGATTCCTTCCCAGAGGAATTGTGTGACTATGGAAATGAAAAGAACATTTGCTATGATAAGATTGTATATGAATATTTTTTTTTACTTTTTTTTGTACAGTTGTCCTTTTAATTTGAAGAAAAAACTTGTAGTCTTTGTTTGTAGCCAAAAACAAAGGAGGTAACTAATGNAAAAGCCCTCTTAGTGCCCACAGGGCAAAAAGAGTTTTAAAAAACTATATTTAAATAAATAATATAATATGCTGTAATTAGAGTAAATGTAAAGAACCTGATTGAAAATGATGATAAACCGAAATCGTATAATACGTTACGCGCAGGATGATTTCTTCGACATGTCACTTTGGGCATGCGTGCCATAGGTTCGCCATCTCTGTCTTATATTATATCTCATAGCCTATAGACTGGCAACATCCTCAGAGATTTTGCATGATGAGTTGTGTTGTGAGAAGGGCAGTAATTTTTCAATTGCATTGTTCCTCTTGCTGTAAACACCAGTACTACTTGGTGTTTCTTAAAGGTAAGCATATGCTTGAGCAAATGGACAGTAGGAGATATGGCATTGGTATGTATTCCTCTATTGTATGTACTCTGTTGGATTGCAGTAGCAGAATGAGCTGAATTTAGAGCAAAAGAAAGAATGAAATATTTGGATAAGGCATTTTTTCAGTTTAAATGATGTCCATGAATTATGTATGAGTGGTACTGAGCTGCCTATAATTAGAAGAGGATGATGTAAACTATACAAATATTTGTAGTTTGGAATTAGAGAAATTAAAATGGTAAGAGAAATGTGCACAAATGTGTTCCCTGTCAAAAACTAAAAAAATAAAAAGCAAATTCTGTTAATGAGTGGAGTTCCAGAAGGTTTTGACAGTTGAATATCTAGGTGACCTTGTCAGTTCAGGGTGGATGGACAGAAATGTTACCTCCTCAAGAAAGCAAGAGGGATTTCCTCCCACAACTTGTCTTCTCTGTCCATCCATTCAAGCCTGCACTTACCTTAAGAATAAAGAATTACTTTTAAAGGACTAGTCTGATTATTCTATAAGTAAATATAAGTGAACATTACATAGTAGCAAGTGTGTCCACCATAACAGTTTAAAAAAATATGAATAGTTCCATTAATAATCAAAATCTATCACAACTTTCACTATATCAAATTCCAGCTCCACATTAATTATCATTCAAAGAAATCAATTGCAAACAAAGATTACTTTGAATGAGAACCTCAATGGGATATCAAGCAAATAAATGTTTCTTTTATTGAAGATGAGTGACACCTAATCACAAAACTTTGGTGTCACTTATCCAAACCCAATTTACGAGTGTTATTGTTTTCATATGTGAAGACAAGAGGAAGGTAAGATTTTGTGACTGATCTTTATGCTAGAACTCAGAACTGATTTTCTTCCATAATAAATTGAAAAAGCCATCAGGATCAAGCTGTCTTGGAAATATCTGTCAAAAATTTGTCAGGGAAGTTTCAGTTAGATCCATCCCTTACTACAAAGAAAGCAGTTATGACAGCAAGGCAATTTAAAGCTATTAAGAGAGGTTAGACTTTCCACAGTACATCTAGTTCTGATATTAAGTTTAAGAGATGATGTAAACTATACAAATATTTGTAGTTTGGAACTAGAGAAATTAAAATGGTAAGAGAAATGTGCACAAATGTATTCCTTGTGTTAAGAGAAAGTAACCTGAGTAGAAAAACCAGAGCAGGTAACCTGAGTAGCAGCCTATAGACAGGACTGGGCAAAACTTGGAAACTGTGTACAGTATCTAGAAAGCCTTGTTTACAAAGTGTTTTGCAAAAAATGTAATTTGCAGGAAATTCTAAAGATGACCAATGTCATCAATGTTGTGGGTGTAAGCACCAAAAACACAGATAAGTTTGTATAAAAGTGTGTATAAGCAACAAAACTGATTTATAGAGAACAGAAGTGAGCATTTTTAATAAATACAATTATAAAAGTGGATCTAGTTGTTGATGTGAGTGTTCTAACAGAGATTACTTATTGTAGTAAGTTTCCACAAAAAAATTATCATATGCTGAACAAATAATTATGAGAGAAAATTAAACCTTACCATTATGCTCATAGCTGAAATAACAAAAACAAGTTAGCAATTGAGAAATTCTATGCTGCATCTAGTGACAAGTAAATTTTGCTCAGCTATCATGCATCAGACAAACAAGGACATGTAGAATATTTTTTTGAAGTCACCACACAACTTAAAACATTTGATCCTTACAAAACTTTTGCAAATCTGTTCAAGGGTTTAAGCAATACAAAACAATGGGCATCTTTTTAGATTAAAGCCAAATGCTATATCTTGTGAATGCCATTTAAGTAAAGAATTCCATGTCTTATTTCTCCAACTTTTAATGTCACATGCCATTTTTATTTTAACATTCTATGTAACAGCTAACTTGGAATATTCTATTTAAGGTTTTAGAATTTTTTTTAAGTTAAATTTAAGTGTATGGAATATAAGTTCCTTTTTCTGTAATTATTTATGTAATGTTATATATGTGTTTGCCTGAAGTTGCTGTAGTATATAGACTATTATAAATATGCATGTTCCTCTGCTTTTAACAGTGTTATTGAGCCTATAAATGAGTCCCCAGATTGAAGTACAGGTAACCCCCGTATAACACGGTAGTTACGTTCCAAAAAATTGCCGTGTTATGCGAATCCGTGTTATACAAAACAAAGAACTAATACGAAAAGGAGGGTTAGGTTCCAAAAATTAAAAAACATGCTAGTATATTTTCATAATTAAGATAAATATCTTCATTAAAATTTTTTTAAGTGATACATATTAATATAAATTAAACAATGTTTTCTTCGTCATCACTAAAAACACTATTAATTAACCGAGAGCGTTTTCTTTTTGGCAAGTTATCCTTATCCTCTGAGCATTTTTCTGCATTATCTTCAGATCCATGCTTTACCTTTTGCAAAATGTATGTAATTTTAGATTGCTTGCTTCTAGTTAAAAGGTCTTTATAAATTTCCTTATATGGTGCTAAGCACTTATGAAGAATAAAGCAAGTATGAAATAAGGGAAAAACATTCGGCAACATCAGAAGCAGAAGCGTCGCGATCTGGCAACATTAAGCAAGTTTCGAGAAGGACCACGTGTATCGACAGAAGGCGAGAAGAGAAAATTTACATACTTAAGTACTAATAGTTCACGAAAATTATTATTTTTGTGAACTATTAGTACTTAAGTATGTAAAAATTTATTACACTTCCTGTTGTACGAGGGTTTTACCCAATTCTCAAACCGTGTTAGAGTGAATCTGTGCTATAGAAGTGCCGTGTTATACGGGGGTTACCTGTACTCCAATAGATTCATGCACTTCAAATAATGAACTTCAAAAACTCAGATACACCTGATAAAACATGACTCAAACATAGTTTTTAAGATTGATGGTTGCTGTCCACTTAATACACTGGGTGACATAGAAGAGAGTTATAAAACTAAATGTCATTACTACACTAGGAGGAAGTTGATTCCTGCATTTTTTCTAGCAGCTCTATAAATCTCAACTGCTCCAAATATTTAAGCTGCTCCTTGCGGAAGGTGCAATGTAGAAGGCAGTCTTGGTTGAAATACACTTCAACATCAGAGTTGGTAGCATATGTTGCCAGGGCTGTCGTAGTGAACCCTTTATAGACAGAGGCCTGATGCTCCTTGAGATAGATGCTTAGTGGTTGGCCTGTAGCTTCCACGTACTCCAAATTGTGGTTAGATCCATGATCAGTAAGGAGGATGGTATACAACTTAGGGAGAGCAACATACCTAGTTGGTCCTTAGCATTACAGGGGAAGGTACAAACAGGAGGACTTATTCTGAAAGCTGGGCAGAAGTTACTATTTCTGCAATTTTCTTGTAAAGGGCAGACAGCCTTCAATGGATATACGTTTGCCATATTAAAGTGGTGAAGCTAGCTACCTTGAAGAAATAAGGTTGGATCTTTGTGAAATGGGACCAAAATAAAAATCAGGCAGTGTAGACTTTAATATTAGATATTATATGATGGAGGTTAGGGAGGTGAACTTATCACTCACTGTCCTGTTCTAGGCAGAGACAGAGGCCATACAGGTTGGAGTTGATTTTACATACGAACTCATGTATACAGATTTTTTGTTGCTACAAGATAAGAATGTCATCAACATAATGCACACAGAGGAGAATATGGCAGTCAAAGGTGGAAAGACTGTCAAATGACGAGTTCATATAACATGCCTGAAAGAGGGCATTCCCTGCCTTGCAGAATAGTACTATTATCAAAGAAGATAAAAGAAGTGGGACAAAAGAGATCAGCAAGCTCCAGGATGCTTAGATGGTGCACGGCAGAGTTATGCATGCTATTCAGGAGGAAGTTATATAGAGCACAAAATCAGTTCAATATAGACAGATGGGTAGAGACCGGAAATCACAAACTGTAAAATATACAGGACCACAGATAGCAACTTCCCATGGAAACTACAGGCCAACCACTAAGCTTCTGCCTCAAGGAGCATCAAACCTCTGTAAATAAAGGGCTCACCACCACAACCCTGGCAACACATGCCACCAATCCCTTCACATTTTCGTCACATTTGGGTAAGATGCTGCATCCTATCATCCTTCGAACCATTTCACAGATTGTCCCATAGGGACTCTTTTAGCCTGTGTGTAGGATTTTAGGAATCATTTATAACTTATTGTATTGATTTTCTTATAAAATGAAACATCAGTTTGAGGATTAATGGATAATCAGTCCTCAAATTACAGTTCATATTACAATTATAATCTCACTTACTCAAAATAAGTAAATTAAATATCAGTTTAATTTAATTACTTGAATCATCTTACATGCATCATAAACAGAAAATGAAAAATTCTTCTCATTCTCAAACCCTAACATCCGCCATTTTTCCGTTAGCTAATAATATTTTCCAAATATTTTAGAGCATAAGTTTTATTTTCAGATTAGTTATATTAATAATACAATAAAATTTTTAAAATTAATTATCATTTTAATTCATCGATATCCCGTCAATAACTTTTTCATTAATACAACAGAATAAAAATAATTATTCAAGAAATTTTCCGAATTTAATTAATTATTTTTAATTTTATTACGTAATATGTACTATAATTAATTAATATTATAATATTTGTAATAAAAATTATTAATTAAATTAAATATATATTTTTGTATTATTCATAAATTTCAGGTGGCGCCAAAAGGAAAGTAAAGAATTATTTTTCGCGGAAATTTTTGTAAGTTACAGATTTTATTTCAATTTCAAATTGTTTTCGATACCTGAAACAATTGCTGTAATGATAAAATTTTTGTATTTAGATTTATATCAATTTCATTTAATTGGATTTATATATAGTTATTACGTTTTTATTTGTAAATTGGTAATATAACTTCAGTTGTACTACGTCTACGTCTATTGGGCCTTTTAAACTTTATACAGTAATTATTACGTTCTGAACGTTGTCAATGACGTTGTTGTAAGCATTCGAATTCGAATATTTCGAAAACACAGTAAAATTTATGTAAAATTTTACTTAGGGAACATCTAAGTAAAGTCGCGAAGGTCAGCTTTAACGCGTATCAGTCAACTGCCTATTCTACGTGCGAAACATGTAGAATAGGCAGTAGACAGTTGCTTGGCTTTCTCACAAAAATTTGTCTTGAAGATATTACTAGCCAACTGCTTCTCATTTTTCCACACTAGGAGAACTCCTAGAACAAGTAATCTCCTGGAAGTCAACATGCTTTGCTATAACTTCCTTTTCTCCTCAATTGTTGATACTGCAACTTTCCTCTTGAGCTTCATTGTTTCCACACTTTTCTTGGATGCTGTGTCTGATAGATAGGGGTTACTATGTGTAAAACTAAACTTACCAAAAATGAAGCAAAAAAAGGACAAAAAAACAGACAGGTGTGATGCAAGAGATGCTTTTACAGCAAAAGCAAGAGACAACTTGGATTCAGAACAGATGGTGTTTATGCAGTAAGTGTAATTTTTCATTGTGCATACAGTTCAAACAGATGCACTTTGACAGAAGATGAAGACAATTTTATATCTTCAATATATACTTTAATAGAACCATCGTTTGAACTCTGGTCAAATTTCTCTCAAATTCAGATTAGCCAAAAGTACTAGCCAATCAACAACTTTATATTACCCAGATGCAGTTTGGAAATTATATTTCCCTCCTTGGTGGGTTTTTTCATACAGGAAGGAAATACTGTAATTTTCAAATGCATCTGGGTAAAATAAAGTTGTTGATTGGCTGGTATTTTTGGAGTATATGGATGTGATAATTTCTAGAAAATAATGAATTTTCAATGTGTAAGCAGTTTAATGCTTACATATTGAGAATTAAAAAGAACAGAATAGAAGCAAAACGATAAATCATAGATATTATACATTAACATCTTTAACAGTATAAACAACAGTGTGTGTTTGCAAATTATTTAGCTTAAGCAAATGAGAGATGGACATTCCCCAAATTTCTACACTGTAAGATTCAACAAGTATAATGTAGTTTTTATTAGTTAGCAGTTTTGTGTATAGTTTATCGCAGTATGTTTTCCATTTGTTATAGAGAACTTGCATGAACATCATCCCATGTGACCAAATTGTCATTGCTCTGCTTCTTGTGCCATAGTTGTGCCATGCTGTTTGTGGAAGTGTATATAATTTGGCTTGCTTCTGAACATTTGTCACATTTAGAAGATGGCAAAACATGCATTTTACTTTCCTGGCTCTATTATATAGGCCTGTATCAGAGGGAAACTATTGGAACGTTTTTTCATTTTTGGACTCAAAACCTTGAAATGTCGAGAAATGCAAAAAAAAATAACTAAAAATATTAAAAATTTTTTATAAAATAAATCTCAAATAATGGTGCCATGCACAAATGTTTAATGATATAAAGTTTATCTTTTAATTAAGATCTCATAACGGCTGGGAAAGTTACGCAATTCGCTGGATTATTTTACTAGGTTATTTAACAACTCTTACTAGTCAAGACGCCGACTGGTACAGAAGTAAAATTTTTAATGAATAGCAGAATTAATCTGTACAAAGATGACTCAGATTCATTTTTAGAGGATTGTAGTTTATGGCCAAAGATAGAATATGAAGACACCTTGTCTTAATTAATAACCCAATTTTTAACTCTTACCTGCACAAAAGCATCCAAATCACTTAAAGCTCAACTTTGTAGCAAATGGTTGGATCTATCCAAAGATTTTGGTAAAGAGTTTTTCAGAAAGAAATGTTCTGAAAAACTCTTTCAGAACATTAACTTTCTCAGCAAGAGAAATTTAAGTAAATTAAAACAAACTATGACATCTGGTCATTGTATTGTTGTAGTGAGTAAAAATGTACGTTTTATAATAGTTTTATTGATCATTGCATAGCATCACTTCTAAGTGCTGTGTAGTAATTATTTTTTTTGGAATTATCAAATTTGTTTTATTCTATTTTAAAATTTACTTACACCGTATCTCTTCATTAGCTAAACCACTCAAAGTTTACACTTTTTCCCATTTAAAGTTTGGTTACTCTGTCATGTATCAGGTGAGATTAAATGGAAGTGGAAATGTCACATATGGTGCCAGACAAAACCTGGAGCACATGCTCAACACATACACCCGGGACTCCAATACATCACATGATCACATGCAAGCTGTCTACATTCATCAAAATGCATGCTTAGATGTCTTAAAAATAAATAAAGTGAACTTTAACAGCTGACAATTAAATATGTCTGTAGGATATTCTTGATTGTGAGGCCTCCAAAATTAAATTTTATATTTATATAAAAATGTAATATAGAAATTATTTTGATATTACAATTAAATAGTTTTCCCACAACCAGATTCTCAATAAGTTTATATCATTGTGCATTTTCTCAGATAATTAAATAATAAATAGCATCAGCAAATAAAGTTAAATGGCCTTTGAATTTCTGCTTTGATAAATTATTAATATAAACTGAAAACAATAGAAGGCCTAAAATTGAATCTTGGGGAACTTTGCAATTTATCTGCATTATGTTACTAGGTTTATTGTTAACAACAGCATACCAAACTCAGTTTATAAATAACATTTAAAACAATTTTAATTGTTTATCATGAACAACATTTGCTTCTAATTTTTTAACTAATATAATTTAATCTATTGAATCAAAAACCTTAAGCAGGGCAAACACCACAGGATTCTGCTGCCCAACCTACTATGTTGGGAAATTTTGTTGCAAAACATGTTTGCCAACATTGCTTTTCTGAAAGTTTGGAAAACATGAAAACTTGCTGCCACCAATCGACAATCGAGTTTGTCAATTGGTGAAATGCCACAAATCTCGGATGATGTTAGTGCCAGTTTACAAGTAGTAAATAGTGACATTGATCGTCATGTGACTGGTTACTTGGAGGAAAACACTGCCTGATATTCACTTTTTCCACATTGTCAAGCAGTAAGCACAGTCATCCAGCAAACTTGTGTGGTGTTTAATCTTCTTTAGTTAAATTCACAATTTGACTTATCGCATTATTGGAATGATTTGATTTATCATAAATAAATTCTGTAACATGAAATAAAGCCTGTCTACTGTATTTATATTTTTTTTTTAATCCAAATTTCTTCTTTACAAAAAATCCATGTATGTAAACAATTTAACAGCCAGGTTTTCATTAATTTCTCTAGAATTTTATCTAAAGCTAGTTATGTGGAGATTGGTCTATAACTATCCACTTTGTCTTTTCTACTTTTATTATAAATTGACCTTTCAGATATTTTACCATTTCTAAAACTGTTATTTAATATTGGTGCCAATAAATCTCTTGTTTTTTCAAGGAGTTTACTGAAATATTGAAGCCACTACCCATTTACTTGTAACTCTCTAATTACATAATTATGTTAACTCCATTATATTCCCTAGATATAACTAAAAAGATGCTCTCGACAATTTATTTCTAACTGTAATAATAAATATTTGATAAATAAATGGGGATTTTTTTTTCAACAGTCTTCAATTTTAATTTTACACTTAATTGCCATCTGATGAAATTTTACAATCTAATAATGATGGTTTCTTTTACTTATTTAAATTACTTAGTAAAACAGTTTACTGGAATAGAACAGAGTTTGATAACTGCTGTGGTTTGAATATTAGAACAAATTATATATATTTAGCCTTATAACAAATAGGGTTGGTGTCAGGAAGGACATCCGGCCATAAAACCTATGCCAGAACTACATGGAATGTCTGCTAGACTACAAGTGAGTTATAATTGTGTTAGGACATCTCCCTGAAATGATGCGTATTCATATTGCCTGAAAACTATGTCAAATGAGCTGGGGCTACTGAACCAAGGATGGGTTTGGATAAAGAAGTTAGTCCAGAAAGAGAAGAAGAAGAATACAAGTATAAGAATAGGTACTTTAAACATCAGAACATTGAATGGGAAGAGTAAAGAGTTAGTTGATCTTATGCAAAGGAGGAGAGAGAACATTTTGTGCCTACAGGAGACAAGATGGAAAGGAAATAAAGCTAAAGAACTTGGTGAAGGGTACAGGCTGTTTGTGAGTAGAGCGAATAAGGGAGGAAGGAATGGAATTGGCATCATAATTGACAAAGTGCTAAAAGACAGAGTCTGTAAGGTTAAATGAAGTGTGTGTGTGTGTGTATATATGCTCATCAGCCAGATAGTGGAGAAGAAAAGAGAAACATTTGGACAAATCTTGACCAAGTTATAATGTGTGTTCCTATGAATGAGAGATTAATCTGTAGGGGGCGATTTAAATGGTCATGTTCGGAAGAGGAAGAATGTGGAAAGAAGAGTTCTTGGGAGGTATAGTGTGGGAGAAAGACTAATCGATCATGCTGTGGCTTTTGACCTTGCACTAGTTAACACCTGCTTTGAGAAGAAAGCGAATCAACTGGTTACATACATGAGTGGAGGTAGATCCTGTCAGATTGATTTTTTCTTGTGCTGCAGGAGACATCTGAGTGAAGTGAGAAACAGTAAGGTTTTAAATGGAGAAAGTGTTGCTGCACAACATAGAGTTCTCCTGATGGATTGTGACTTTCTTATGGGCCATTGTAAGAATTGTGTTAACCAGATTGAACAAAGGATCAAATGGTGGAGATTGAAAGAGGAGGAATCAAGGAAAAAGTTTAAGGTAAAAGTTTTAAAAGAAATCCAGTTCCTGGATGATGTGCAAACATGGTTATTGCTGAATAGTAATTGCATTTTGAAAGTTCGAGAAGAGGTTTTGGGAAAAACTTCAGGGAAGCGATCACCAGAAGGAAAGGAACTTTGGTGGTGGAATGCTGAGGTACAATCTGAAGTTAAACAAAAGAAAGAGGCAAAGAAAAGGTAGGATTTGATGGGAAGGCCTGAAGATAAAGAAACTTACCATTCGGCAAATAAAATGACTAAAAGGGCTGTGGCTATTGCAAAAGCAAAGGTTTTAGAAGAGGCTTATAAAGTTTTTGAAAGGAAAGGTGGTGAAAGGCAGTTGATGAGAATTGCCAAAACAAGAGATAAGGCATCAAAAGATTTTACATTTATTAAACTGATTAAAGATGATAAAGGAGTGGTATTACAAGATTAAGAAAGGGTCAAGGAAAGATGGAAAGTATATTTTAGGAATTTATTGAATGAAGAAAACCCCAGAACTTCATTTGCCTCTCCACTCTCGTAAAAAGGAGTAGTGCAAGATATTAGCAGAGAAGAAGTGGAAAGTGTGCTTAGGAAAATAAAGATGGGGAAAGCAGTAGGCACTGATCGGATTCCAGTTGAGGCTTGGAGAGGTTTGGGTAAGGAGGGAATTGATATCCTCTGGGACCTTATGAAGAAACTCTATCAGCAGAAGATCCCAGATGAATGGAGGAAGAGCATTCTTGTGCCAATCTATAAAGGTAAAGGGGGATGTACAGAATTGCAGAAATTACAGAGGTATAAAAGTATTGTTCTATACGATGAAGATTTGGGAGAAAATTGTAGAAATGATTGGTCAGGAATCTGAGATTGGAGAGGAACAGTTTGGCTTTTTACTGGGAAGGAGTACGATGATGCTATCTTTGCTCTAAAACAGCTGATGGAAAGGCACAGGGAAATGCAGGAAAATTTGCACATGGCATTCATAGATCTAGAAAAGGCATATGATAGGGTACCAAGGCAAGTGATATGGAGATATTTGAGGATGTTCCAGAAAAATGTTAGGCTCGTCAAGGAAGTGTACAAGGGAGCAGAGACCCAAGTTAAGAGTAGTGTGGGCATGTTTATGTTGATTTGCATCAAGGATCAGCCCTTAGCCCTTATTTGTTGACCTGATAATGGATGTGTTGTGTGTGACGTGAAGTGTGAGACTCATGGAGTATGCTGTTTGCAGATGATGTTGTGCTATGTGAATTTTCCCAAATCAAAGCTGAGAAGAAACTGGAAGATTGGAGGAAAGTTTTGGAAGAAAGAGACATGAAGATTAGCAGAACTAAAACAGCTTATATGACTCTGAATGGTAGAAATAAGTGTAATATTAAAATCCAAAATGTGTTGTTCCCTTTTATTCTGAATTTTAAATATCTTGGGACATTTGTCGAGATGGGAGGAGGATTGAACTCAGAGGTGCAGCATAGAATTCAATATGGGTGAATGAACTGGAGGAAGCTGAATGGTCTGTTATGTGACAAGAAAGTTAGCTGCAATCTGAAAGGAAAATTGTTTAAATCAGTTGTTAGACCTGCAGTGTTATATGGAGCTGAGACATGGGCAATAACAAGAGCCCAAGAAAGAAAGATAAAAGTGGCGGAAATGAGAATGTTGAGATGGATGTGTGGAGTGTCAATGAAGGATAGAATAAGGAATAATTTTATTAGAGGTTCTGTTAAGGTGGACTCCTTGAGCAAAAAAATGCAATAATGCAGGTTGAGATGGTTTGGCCAGATAGAGCGAAGAAGTGACAATTATGCTGGAAAGAAGGTCAGAAAACTGGTAAAAGAAAATAGGAAAAGAGGAAGGCTAAATGTGAATTGGAAATATAAGGTGGAAGAAGACTTGAACCAGAGGGGACTTAAGAGAGAAGAAACCTTTGATAGAGAGAAATGGAAAAAATGTATTAGAGAAGGAAACGTCAACCCCTTATAAACATAGAAAAGGCAAAGATGAAGAAGAAATAAAACAGTTTACTATATTACAAAACCCTTATTTATTATATCCTGTTAAGCAGGTAAACCTGGTTAGTTTTACTCTATCCTAATAAGAAAAATAAGAAAAATATACAAATATGTTTATATTTGTGTATTTTTCTTATTTTTCTTTAAATATTTATTAATATTTTTCTAAATAATATTAATCATAATATCCTTACAAGTCATAATATGTACAGTACATTATCTCTTCTAAATCTTCCTTTTCTTAGAGGCCGTCCATAAATTACATAAGGGCGATTTCGGCCATTCTAGACCACCACCCACCCGTGTAAGAAACGGTAATATTTTCTTTGATCCCCCTCCCCTTCCTTATCTTATGTAATATTTAGGCATGATTTTTTAGAAAGATTTTAACAAAAAAAAAATTTTTTTATGAAACCCTGAAAACCTTAGGACCAAAATATGTAATTATTAATTAGTTAATTAATATGTAGTATTACTTATAAAAGACTATGTGAACAAATTTAAAAATGTAAAAATTTAATGAATTCGAATGAACAATTTATTTTAAGAACTTTATTTTTTAATTATTAACAATATTATTATTATTATCATTATTAATCAATGTCATAATATTCATTTTTATATTAATTTTAATTTTCACAAAAGGACACAAAAAACTTTGACAAATTGACTAGCTAGTGTACATGCAAACAGAAACGTCATACAAAATAAAACGAGAGAGATAGAAACCACATTCCATTGCCATATTAATTACATCTTGGATCAGGTCATTTAAATAAACTACATGCTGCTAAAATGTGCTAGGTGCACCTGGGGAATAGATCATAAAGCTTGTAAAACTCTATATAATGGGACAATACAACCAATGCTACTTTATGTGGCCTGTAGCTTGGATCATGTAACTAGTAAAAATTCAGTAGCAACAAAATTACTCTCTCTTAAAAGACAGTTTGCCATCATAATTTTGAAGTGCCGCAGAACTGTTTCTACTAACGCCACTGATACTAGCAGATTTTCTTTGCCACTATGTATTGTAGAAAAGGTTCTAAACTACTACATCAGAAATACAAACATCAAGGCTCAACAACAGTCTCTACTCCTATGTATGGCTCTTCATATGCTAACACATTGCAATTACCCTACTATCTGTGATCATCAACCTGTAAACAAGGTTATCTCCAGGGTACATTTGGTGTCATCTGTTCCCTCCATGGATAACCATGCAGGCATTAATATCTAAACAGATAGGTCTAAAAGCACCCTTTGTGTTGGCTCAAGTATCTGTATCTTCCTCCAAACTGACATATTTTGCCCAAAATGTGTTAGAAGGTACAGACACTTTCCACATATTTTCCATCTATCTAGCGGAAGAAGATGCTGTCTACTAAAGCTGTTCAGTGGGCCACTTCACTACCAAACAAAACTCTATCAACATTTACAGTGATTCTCAGTCTGTCCTAAAAGCTCTATTGAATCCCAATTGCAAGAGCAATAAAATCACATATATCCAGCACCATATTAAAAATCTTGTAAATAAGATAACTTTTATATATTTTCCTGGGCATACTTAGAAATGAAAAAGCTGACTTTGAGGCTGGACTACACTCACATCCCTTTTCTCACACTGTAGTAGCCTTAAAAATTATATTCATGACAATGCTATGCAAAAGTGGAATCAATAATGGTTGAGCAGTAAAACTGGTAGAATAACAAGACTATTTTCTTAGTGTTGAATGCAGGTTCTCATCACCACTTAGAGATTTAACATTTGCTACTGCTCAACTACGTACTGAACATGATAATTTTAGAAGCTACCTGGCGATGTATAACTGGGTAGAAACTGCTTCTTGCTTTTGCTCTACAGAAAATCTAGAACTGTCGACCATATGATCTATCATTGTCCAATTTATGATCAAGATAGACTTATTCTGAAATTATAAATCTTTACACTTGGTTTCAGGTGGTCATGTCTACTCAATAAGCTTGTTCAGAAGCCACTGTTTGATGCTTTTTACAATTATGTTCAAAAAACATGGAAGAAAAGACTATTTATAATTTCTAGTTTTACATTTTAGTTTTCACTAAAAGCTGAATACTAATTTTATGTTTACTTTGTATCGTATATTTTGGTTTATGTATTCTTAGTGTTATACACCCATAGGAGTGGTACACTTATTCTAATAAAAAAAAAAGAAAAGAGAGAGAGAGAGAGACCACCACACGGCCTTTCTCCCATGAAAAAAACGTGTAGAGCATGAGTCTGCTAGCGTTATTTTATCACATCACACGAGCTTCTTAATAGAAATGGCCAGATTGAAGCCAAATTCAAAACTCCACCATTCAACGAAATCAAAAAATAAGAATATTACATACGGCGAGATTTATTACCCCTATCCCTGAATAAGAAATCGTAACAAATCCTTGGCCCCCACCCACCCCAAAATACCTTACATAATTTGTGGATGGCCCCTTATTCTCAAAAATATGAACACACTCCCAATTCCTGCTCCATTCTTAATTGCAAACCAAAGGAGTTTTTTGAAATTTCTTGAATATTCTTCTCCAATAGTAATAATTCATGAAATTTATTATTTAATTTATGTAATGTTTTGTCAATGCAGTCAGAATGATCTATGCTACTTGCTTGTACCCTTATCTCTAATCTTTAATCTTAAAAGACACTGTGGCCTTATATTAAATTTCCAATGTTGCTTATTAATTTTAGATGGAGTTTTGAAAAATAATTTTAGATATTATCTAAAATTATTTTTCAAAACTCCAACACATTTCATATGATAACGTCTTGCAAGCATAACATTTTATAAAATCCAATCTATTACTAATTTCTGGGAAGTATTTATGAAATTCTGATCTGGATCAGAAGACACATGATTTTTCAAATTAAAATATGATTAAAGATTGCAGCCCAGCATTGTAACCATGTCACAATAATTTAAATTTTATTTACAAGTTACTTATGCTTGTTAATTACAGGTTATTTTTATACTCTTCATTTTCTGCTCATATATTAACTTTTTTCTACATTTTCTGGACATTTTCCATGTTAGTTGTTGGGAATCATTAATCCTGACAGTTATTTTTAGATTGATAATATTAATTTTTTAATTACAGTAGAACCTCTATTATCCGGACTAATTGGGGATGAAGGTAGTCCGGATAAGGAAAAATCCGGATAATCGAAACAAATACTTTAATTTGTCTTTTATGAAATAATTAAACATGGTAACCCGAGCTGGAAAGAAGCTTTTAAGAAACACAATACGTACCATAGATCATCATAATAGAGTAAGAAATTTGTTGAAATTTGTTATATTTCTACTTTCATATAAAAGGTTTTCCAAAAAGAATGCTACCATTTTAAATTATTGTAATTATGTTAATTATTAGCTGAGAACATCATAATATACATTTAAACATTGGAAAAACCATCAAAGTTTTATATTTACTCATTACAATTTCTCAGTGCGTGCACCTCGTGTTGCACGGCACACTTCCAAGCATTCACTTTGGAAGACCCTTATAATGATACTTATATAATGAATCTTACCTTTACAATATTATATTTCTGTTTGAATTTATAGGTTTTAGAAGAACAGGATATGTGGAGACAGTGGGAGTTACAGCAAGGTTTAACAATGATGGTCTCTGACGATGCAGTTCACTCACGATCAAAGTATTTAAAAATGGATTTGGAAAATCATTCGCAAAGATATAAACCAGAATATAGAGAGAGTGTAGATTTGGATTTGCAAAATCAAGATGTGAAAAGTTTGAAGAAGATGAGAAATTATTGGTTAAATAAATTAGTGGAAGCTGAAGAACAAGATCCTGATAGGTAATAATACATTCATAATACTAATTTTGTTTTTATGTAAAATTATGTATTATTTAGATTTATTGAATTTTTTTTTATGTAGATGGGGCCATAGTGGATATAAAGAACTATATCCAGAAGAGTTTAATAAGCCATCATCATCAAAAAGTGATATTGATAAATGCTGTAAAAGGAAGAAATCAAAGTAGGTTTCACATAAAAATATTTATATGGGGTAACCCAAAAGTTAGTTAATCATTATAAATACTAAATAGTTGTTGTTTATTCAAATACTTAAATATTTACTCTTATTTTTTATCATTTTTTCACCAATTTTATGAAGAAAAACACATTTAAACTTGTTATATTTTCTACTTTCTGTAGATAAACTGTAAGTTAACTGATTAGTCATAGTTTAATACTGGTGGAACTCTGACTAATAAGGTTCATATTCATATGTTATGCTAGGTTCACATTGTCATATGAACCACTAAAAATGAACACTAACAAAGAGAAATGCTGTTCAAATCATACTACATGATACTGAGTTAGAACATGAACGGTCAAAAAGGATTTGTTTAAAATCACCAATTCTAAGAAAGTTAACTGGTCAAACAAATTGAAGTTCAGTAAAAGTTGAAATACTTTCAACTCCTAAGGATATGAATAAACTGGCCAAACAGTTTTGGAAAGGGTGCAAACTGGCAGTTTGTATGCGAATGTGAACCTAGCTTTAGATAGACACTTGTGATCAAAATAGTAACTGTAACAAAAGCTGCATTGGTTCAAGTATGCAATGGTCTCCATAGTTGTAAGAAATGAATTGGAACTATATTACAGATGCAGCTAAAGTGATTTGTTGGTAATACAGCCACTGATCACCAAAGTATGAAAACTATGCCAATAGGTGAAATGGACTTGCTCAGTTGTACTTGGGATTCATGTGAAATAAAACTTTGAGAGCTTATATTTATCACGAGTGCATGAAAATATTGATGTTACTCCCAGATTTTTGTATTGTGGTTTGAAGTTTAAAGATAATGTATGGACACCTTGAATTTTTTAATCCTAAATTACAAAATATACTAGCATATTGAATGGCACATTCTTACAGAGAAACAAATTTCTTGCCAAAATTGTGTGGAATGCAAAGAACGATTACTTATCTTAATTATTTTATAACAAGTGCAGAAGTAACACAAACATGTGGCTTACATAGATTACAATGCCCTGATACCTAATTACACCATATATCCACAAAATATATCCAATACTTAAAACATTTTTCACAATTAAAATTAATTGTTTATATTACATTTAATAGGGATTGCTATGTATGTTGTTGTATGGAGAGGCTAATATTGTCCAATTGATATCACCTTTGTATTAAATAAATAAATAAAATAAACACTATGAAATATAAAGAATAACAGATACATTTTAAACTTCATGACAGATCAATTAAAACAAACCAAATATTTATAAGGCAAAGAATTTTTTTGTGGAAATTTCTTAGCCTGGTTCTGCTAATCCTTAAGCAATTGTGGACCCAAAAGGATGCATACAGTAGATATCTTTGGTATCCTTACAATGATATGATTATTATTATGTTGAGAATGTCATGCTCAGCTGATACTGTGCCAAGTGCTATGTCAGACTAAAGTCAAAGCATAGCTACCCAAACAAGTCTAACATTAAGCTGTGTTATTGGTATGTGTGTCAACATCTAGAAACTTGCTAACTATATGACATGTGTTCAATATTGCAGTTTTTTGTAGTGCCATGTATGTTTTTATTAAAGTTTAATGTTTGTAGACTTTTGTGTGGTGTATGTAGTATAACACCAGTAGAAGAAAGGACAACAGGTATAATAAATACCTTATCCATCCTGTACATTGTCATTTCATGAGTGAGTGGAGTGTACTTGTTGATTTTTTTCAGAGTGAGCATTTTTTTATGTTGAGTGTTTGGAACAGAAATGTTTATTATATAAGCGACCTTACTGCATTTGTCAACAAGAGTGATGTCAGGTCTATTGTGATGAATTGTTTTATCTGTGATTATGGCTCTGTTATAGTATATTTTGTGTGTCGTTTTCTAATACTGCCTGTGGAGTATATTTGTAGTATGGTATCTGGATGTTTAATAATCTGTGCTTCTGTGCAAGTTCTTGGTGTATTATATTTACTACTCAGTTATGCCTATGTAAATAGTTTGTTTGTGCTAAGAGCTTGCAACCAGAGGTTATATGTTGTATTGTTTCTGGCAGAATGTGGCATTTTCTGCAAGAATCATTTGTGAGCGATGTATCCTTCAGGATGTGTTTTTTGTAGTGTTTAGTGTTTATGACCTGATCTTGAATGGCAACCATAAAACCCTCAATTTCTCCAAACAGGCAGTTCCTAGTCAGCCAGTAGTTTGATGCATTTTTGTCAACATAGTCCTGAGCTAGATTATAGGCATGCCTGTGTGAGATCCGACCTCAGAATAAGCCCAAAATTGTTCATTTTCTCCCTAAATTTTCGACGTATTTAAAATAAATTTGTCGCCTCCTCGTTAAAATAACATTGTCAGAAAAAAGAATCAAATATCGATCGCAACTTATAACTTTCATCGTTAATATAAACATTCAACCCTCGAACAATGACATTCCTCTGCTGCAAGACAAAAAGTTTATAGTTAAAGTCCAAATTCGTCATTTTGTTTTGGTCCTGGGAACAACTTTGACCTCCACACCTGCAGAACCAACTCGATCTCACACAATGGGAGATCACCTGACTGATTTTCCCAGTCCGAAGCTATAAAAGCGACTTCTTTCCCCCTCCTCAGGGGAGTCTCACATCTACGGTCTAAAAGGATTAAGTCTCCGGGAAACTTTAACTTTGTGCGTCGAACTGTGTGCATCGATCACCGACAAAAAAGGACTAAATTTTTCCCACCTACATGGAAGTAAACTAGAGGTATGAAACAATTAATGTAAACTCTCTCTCCGCAAGTTAGGAGCTAGTAAACTAAATTCACTTCCCCGATGTTAGATTTTTGTATTCTTTAAATTTTTTTTTTCTTTTCGTTTGTCTAATAAATTGTTGTTCTCATTGTTAAATGGTGTTCTTTTACTCGTATATCGCCTACGCCTCGTCGACGACCCCTCTCACCTCCTCCACTTGAACTGACAAAAAGTATCCCGACCCTTCGGGACCGCATTCGAAATTTAGCCATCTTGACAACTTGACAAGTGAGCAGGTTTAACGACCTGTCGCCGAAAAGGGAGAGTCGACGGTTCCCGACTTCCCCGGCGGTTCACACCTGCCATGAAGTGCCTTTTGGGTTCATAACTGCTTAGTGGTGTGTGTTTTTGTGTGTTCAGCTATGTCCAGGTGCTCAGAGTGTAAGCTTAAAGGTGTATAATTATTTTCTGCCAAAGTTATAGCATTATGTAATCTCGGTGTTTCTTGTTTTTTGTTGAAAAACTCCCACAGTGTTTGAATTTGTTTGTAGTGCAGGTTAACTATATTAGTAAGGCCACAGCCACCTTCTTTACAAAGAAGAATTAGTCTTTCTACGGATGATTTTGGGTGATATTATTTATGCTTAGTAAGTATTGTTGTATTTAGTTTTCCTTTGGAGTTGCTCAAGATCTGTGCTTGTCCAGCATATAACTCCAAAAGAATAAGTGAGTACTGGGACAACATATGTATTAATAGCTTTAATAGTGTTTTATATGTTTGCATTTAGATGTGTTTTTAGTATTGCATATAATCTGTTCTGGTATTCGAGTGTTAACCTTTGTTTTATTTGTGCATATTCTGTAAGTTTGGCCTTTTGGAATCCTAAATATTTGTAAAACTTGCCCTCTTCCATGGACTTGATAATATCTCCACTTCTGAGTACAGTCTCCTTTCTTCAGAACTCCATTTTCAAAGTGTAGTGTTTTGCATTTGTCTAGACCAAACTCCATTTGTATATCATTTGAGTATGTGTGTGTAGTTTGTAAGAGATGAAGAAGTTGATTCTGTGTGGATGCATAAAGTTTGATATCTATGTACATGATTTGATAATGTGAACGGTGTTGTTTTGTTGTGTTTGATATTGTAGCCATACGTGGTTACCTTGGTTTTCGTTGATAATCCGTTCGAAAACAATCAGCAAAACCTGAAATTGATGTAAACTAAGGCAGTTATTTCCATATGAATCAATGTAAATCCAATTAATTCATTCTAGACACTCCAAAATACATACCAAAAACATATTTTATAGAGAATAAATATTGTGTTTAATACTAAAAGTAATAGGAAATTAATATAAAATGAATATAAAAAAACTAATGTAGAGAATAAATAAACATTTAATGTATGGCATTCGAAGCACTATGGCTCTGAAAACATTCTTTGGTCCCATGATGGAGCTGAAAGGAAAGCAATGGAATTGTTTAGCTAGATGTATGGGGTAATACTCACACAATGAGAAACAACGCATGCTAGAACTTAGAAAACGAATGACTTTGGGATGGTTTTATAGATGCAAAGTGTGTGCAACAGCCAAGTGTGTGGGACATTGTTGAATGCTTTTCTTTAATCAATGTATGCCATATGTATGTTTCTGTGTTGCTTATGAACTTGCCATAGGATGATAACAGAGTCAACAAGTAGTTGTCCATGCAACCTTTGTGATTTCTGCAGCAGCCTTTTTGTTCTGTAAGTATGTCATGTTCATCAATATGATTGTATATTTTGTTTGCAATGCAAGAGGTAAGAATCTTGTAGTGTTGAAAGACATACATGTCTTTCAACACTACAAGATTCTTACCTCTTGAATTGCAAACAAAATATACAAAATTGATTTGTACTGTGCAGGGTCGTTGGTTTCATGTAGGTGATGCCCCGTAAGAGAAATTTTGGCATGTCTTGTGATTGTTGATGATATGAGTTAAATGTTTAGCTAGTTCCTGGTGCAGGGATGTGAATTTTTTGTACTAGAAATTGTGAATGTTGTCTACACCAGTTGTTGTTCAGTTGTGTACTTTCTGCAATGTGCAATGGATGTCTTGTGTATTTATTTCAACACAATGCATACTACGTGTGTCCTGCATGTCTTTCTCTTCTCTTTTATCCAGTATGCTTCAGCATTGTGCATGACAGCAGTAGACTAAAGAGAAGACCAATAATTTGTGAGTTGTTCTTCAGTTGGCATGTCATTGTGTTGGGAATCAGTACTGAATTTGGTATTAATCTGCCTGTAGAATAGTTTTTTGTTGTTTGTGAATTTATTATTATTAGTATTATTGTATAAGTTCAGATCTTTGCATGAAATGCAAAATGCACCTTGACCTAACAAGTCCATTTTGGGTGCAGTCCTTATAATTTTAGTCAGGTTTCTACAAAACTATAAATATGATTCAATTTAATATGATAAGACAGCAGGAGTGCAGTCTATAACAGGCTGCTTCCTGGTAAGAGTTTCTATAAGAAATTGGCTACTGTTCAGGTGTTAGATGCATGAAGAAAATCAAGAAAACTCCACTTTGGTAGACCATTTCTCATGTGCAAATTAACTACTAGTATTAATAGATTTTATTTGTTCGGCCACTGGGGACCTACCAGTTCATAAATGTTTGGGGAGATGAAAGGCCCAATGACTTCCACACACAATCAGATATATTAGACATATATTAAAAAACATAACCCAAACATGAGATATATGAGAAATATGTCATGTCTGAAACAATACAACTTATAACAACTGTTAGTGAATAAAGATTACTTACATAGGAATAACCAAATAACAGACATAATAAGCCTTCTTCCAAAAGCCCGTACACACACAAATTTTTAAGTCGCTACTAAGTAACATGTAGATACACTAAAGACAGTATTAATAAACCATACATACAAAGCACATGTAGGTCTAAGTAGCAGATAAAACAACCTTTTATAAGACTGATCATTGTATTCATGGATAATTCTAAATATTTATTTTTATATTAGTCTCACCAAGAAAATTAGTGTTAAAATGTCTTTAAATATTACACATTGATGCAATTTTACAGCCCACGTCACAAACTTTCAGACAAGAATATATATCTGTTTGTGTGCTGTTAACTGTTCATTATTTTTTTAGCAGCTTAAACTTTAATTTGGCACAGCATCTTGCCTAATATGAAAATTATACTTAATAATTAAACAATATAATTTATACAAGGTTACTCTTATTAATATCACGATCTTTTATAATTACAGAAAGAAAAAGAAAATTAAAAAAAAGACATCAAAGGAAAAATCTTCAGATAGCAGTGAAGAATCGTCCGAAGTCAGCTCTGACGAGACGTCCTCCTCTTCTAAATCATATTTGCAGGCCAGGAAGAAATTAAAAGATGGGATTGTTAATGCAGTTTTAATAAATGGAGAAAATATTAAAAAGTGTAAGAAAAAAGCTGCAAAGAAAATCAAATTACATGGGACAATAAATAAGAAAAGAAAAGAAAAGTACAAGAAAAGGAGAAGGAAAACCAAATCCCAAGATGGCTCCTTGGAATTAATTTGGGTGGAGAAAACTGCAGATGGAAGTTGATGTCAATATTTTTAAAGTAATTGTCACCATTTGTCTGTAACATATATTATATTTATATATCTGTTTTTATTGAGTACTTTCAGAAATGGAATTTTTATACGAAACAAACACAAGTTTCCATATAATTATATATATGTATACTCTCATGTAGTTCTCTTCATTTCATTAATGTATATAATGTACAGTACATATGTACCCAATTCCAAAATCACATTAGATCATTAAACATTATTTATTTAAATTTTTAATCAGATGTTTAACTTAAATACAAAAGGGTCAGATAAGTTATAAACAAACTTCATTCGTGATCTGGTTTTTATTTGGAACAGACACACTGATTTTTTCTTCTGTGATTTTTTTTTTGCTTGACATCAATAATTCATTTCTGGAAATCAGACAGTTAATTTGACCAAACAGTTAATATTACTTAATTGTAAATGAACAGTTGCTCTGTATGTAGTAATATGTACAATCTGCATGCCGTACTGCACACATTACATTCAGAAAGAACCCACCCATGTAAAGATTCAGATGATTTGTTGTTGGTCCATTAATGGTATGGTCAAAGTTTCTTCTAAAGTCTTTGGCATTGTAAAAGGTAGAGTTAACACAGCTAAACATAAAAAATTTGAGATGCAAGTTCTCAGAAAATAGAACTTCTTTAAGAATGAAATTAAAGAATCTAAATACAGGTTAATATTGTTTGCCAATAATAGCCTTCTTGTGTGATTCCAGGATAATTGCAACTATATTTCTGTATGGAATGTCATCTAGGTATGTCTATTATTCATTTTTCAGTCATATCTAGTGAAAGTTTTTCTTTGGATATATCCCTACAAAAGGCAAATATTTTGAGTAAGTCCTCAACACAGTGAGCAGCTAGGAAATTATATTTAAGGCTTGTAATGTTTTGGTTATTGGTTCAAGAATAGCAGAATATTTTGATATACATTACTGGTCTAGTAAAATGCAACTCCTGCAATATCTAGAGTCCTACATGGTGTTGCATTTTACTTGGTCAGCAGTATATTTTAAGAAATAGTAACATCATGTAATACTTCAATGTTTATTAAGTGATGTTCTTCTTGAGATGTTGACCTATCTAGTTCATAGACTTTCAATTCATTTTTAATAAATTAGAAGAAAAATTCTTTGAAAACCCGATATATTTTGAAATTGTCTAGTTTCTGAAAGTAAAGGAACTGTTGTCACAGTGGATTCTCTTTTGGACTTTCTCTATTAAATATTACTATATATATATTATTATTCCTATTGCCTGGAAAATTTTAGTACAATGAGTCATTCACAGCTAGGTATAATCTGTGAGAATCGTAAGTGACTTTTGGATATACTGTATATTTTTTATCTGGACATGAACACCAACTTGCTTTACATGCAAAGCCATCGTATCCTCGTCCAATTAATTTGTTCGTGTCCGAATGATATTCAGTACATTTTCTTAAAATAGCATAGCTAATACTTTTTACCTTCATATCACAGAGTTTTGTAAATCCTAAAAATTCTTTTATATTTTTGTGAGGTTTGCCGATTGGGGAGAAAGTGTCACGACAATCGAGCGATCAGCACTATCGCGTGGGAGTGGAAAACTTACTGAGACTGGTCCTCCATCGCAAACTGTTTATTAAATATAAAAATTTCGCTTACAACTACTGTTTTACTTCGGCATAAGGCCTATTCGCAGAGTGAATCAGTTCGTAAATAAAGTTCAATCTTTTCGACGATCTTCTCTCCTGGCGAAGATGATGAGGAAAACGTAGGCTCCGGGGCGCACTGCACAAGTTGAAGTGGTGATTCTCGTAGCAGGTTACACTTGGCGAAACTTGCCCGACGGGATGGCGATAACTTCTTCCGGAACGACGACCAAGTTTCTATTGAACCGCAGGAAAAATCCAGGAGTGGAGCACACCGAACTAAGAACCAAGAACGTCTCATCCTTTTTATGTGCGGTTTTTATAAGTTTTTTCTGGGTCCCAGATCGAACATTCCGATAGGTCGATGTCGACTTGCCCCACTTTCTGGTTGGTTATGAAACGTAACAAGATCAGAACCCAGACCGACTGACAATTCGATCCCTATCGAAGATGTTCGATCTTAGGACTTACATTCACCCATTGTTTCAACCTGAGTAGTACGACTTTCTTAGAAATTTTTAGATATGTCTTTATATGGACATAAAATATTCATTTTGCGTTTGACGGTTTCTTTTTACAATATTATGAGAATAATAATTATTATTAAAATTTTTTAATACGAAATTAAAAACATTTTCTGTGCATGAATTTCGACCCACTTCCAGAGCTTCACATTTTTATTCTTATCAACAAACCTAATGACAAGTGAATGCTGCTTTACTCCAGTAAAATCTGGTTTCATCAACTAAGATTGAAAATCCATAGATTTATTTGCGGCAGATACAATGCTTTTTCATATTTCCTATTTTTAAAGCTCGTAAATTAAGTTTTCCGGGTGTAAAAATGAATTTGTTGAAAATTTTAAAATATTTCATTCATGTTGTACTAGGCAACAGTTGTAAAATCTAATTTATTTGATAATTCTTATCTCCGGAACTAATTAGTAGAAAACGAAAGAAGAAAGTTCATTTCAGTTCAAATGGAAATTTAACCCGTAAAAATATATAATATATATAAATTTATAAAATGAAAATAAATGAATGAAAAATGNCGAGAGTTTATACCCTTCAATTAAAATCGAGTCTTGTTTGGAAACGTTAATGGCGTTCTTGTTTAAAGAAAACCCAGAGTTGATACACTACAGGAACGAAGTTTTAGAGATGGCTAATCTTGTATGCTGTGAACCTTTCTTTGGCTTTGAAGGCCAAACGTACAAACAAAACAGGGGAGTTCCTATGGGAAGCCCAATATCGGGTCTTCTATGCGAATTGGTGGTAAGAAAAATAGAGGAAAAGGTTGTGCATAGCTTCAGAAAGGATATTGTTTACTTCAAGAGATATGTGGACGATATCTTTATACTATGGAAAAGTAATCGAGGAATCAGTAATTTTATAGAAAGAATCAACGATAACAAAGACGGCCTAAACCTGAAGCTAGAGCAGAAAAGTTCTGTAGTGATACATTTCTTGGATATCAATATCACCTTTAAGAAAGGGCATTTATCTACTAATGTGTATACCAAACCAACGCATAGCCCATTCTACATTCCTGCGCAGTCCAGTGATCCATTTCGTTATAAATTAGCAGCTTTTCGTGCCTTAGAAGGGTTTTTCTATATTGCGACAACATTATGGACAGAAATGAAAAGGATTATGCAGATAGCAGAAACCTTGGGTTACAGAAGAAACAATCACTGGCATTATTAGAAAATTCGAGATAGGCGATACAAGAGCCTCTAAACAAGGGCCTAGTAAATACACAAAATATACATTCAACAAAAATGTAAGAACCGTCATGAAGGAGATTGCGGACAATAAAGGATCAATGTTGATCGTAAAACGAGCTCCGAATCTGTACAAGATCCTAAGAAATGATAAAGGGAATATTAAGAAGGAAGATAAAGCAGGAGTGTATAGGATCCCGTACGAGAACCAGCAGTTAGGAATAGAAAAGGAGTAAATAGGAGTTACAACGAGAAACCTAGGAATAAGGGTCAAAGAGCATAAATACGATATTAGAAAAAGATCTAACACAACAGTTCTGGCCCAGATGGCTCAGGCCGAAGGATCCGTAGTTAGGTGGGAGGATGCGGAAATCATCAGAGAAGTGCGCTCCCCAACTTTAGCGAAAACTGCCGAAAAGATGGAAATATATAGGAGCAAGTTAGATGAAAAATGCATAAACGCCAGAGATGTGGAGGGCCTACCCTCAGCATGGAAGTACGCCGTTAAAAAACTTACAAGTAGCTCTTGAATTGCTCCATATCCGCAATCGCGATATGGGAATGTTAATGATTTTTATTGGTTTAACAAATAGTGGCTTATAATATTATTTAGTAGTTGTATGTTATTTATTTTTACATTTATGTATTTTTACACTTTAATTTTTATTTTAATTAGTTACTGCGTTGTCGGTTTTGTCTCTTTGAATTTGGCGTTCTATTTTTGTTATTCCAAATTCGAATGTTTCAACCTGAGGATGATCTATGGAGTAGATCGAAAACGTTAGTTTTTAATAAACTCCCTTGGCAAAGAATAAGGTGTTTGTTACTTGATTTCTACATAATGTTGATGTTCACTTTGACTTTGGGAATTCTTTGCTTCATTTTTGCAAAACAGAGTTCATTTTACTGATCATCACTAAGGAATCCTCATTTATTCAGAGTCTTAGTAACATTAAAATTTTTTATCATTATTACTGTCATTTGAGTATTGTGCTAAGCATGAGTTTACAAATAGCTTTTGCAGATTCTACTCAAAGCAGAGTCAAATGAGACCACCATCAAAATGTTAAGTGTAGCTATTGTGAGGTTCCAGAACAGGTCAAAACTAAAACTGTTTACATGCTAAAAGTGAAAACGCTATTGTCAAGTCGGACTAAAGGTCACATTAGTTATGTAAGGGAGAGGAAAGAAAGAACTGTAGTTGTTAAAATAAATGTGAAGATGAATGATGTAACGGATCAGGTGGAATGTTGGCCAGGGAAGATAGAACTCTGACATGAGCACTCAAACAATCAATCTAGGTTAGGGGTCCCCAAAGTGGTCGATATCAACCCCTTGGGGTCAATAAGTTCTCCAGGGGTCGATTAATACACGAGGGTCAAAAGGGGGTCGATTAATACCAAAGAGGATCAATTAAATTGTCTACGAAAAAAATAGAATATTCCAATAAAAATTCAAAATATGGATATGATAACAACATTACTGACTACCCTAGTTATAACTTGAGTTTTGCCTCAGCCTACACTGCTTTAAGCTTGTGTTACTCTGTTTTCACGCATCTGTCAACTGTACTAGTGTTGCAAACATTTTATGAACGCTGGTAGTTCATTATACACAGACATACGTTCACTTTAGTTGGGTTGTCACTCTAAGTATTTTATATCTAAATGTAGATATTTTGCCCTTTACAGAGAAAATATCGTAATATATTGAAAATCATTAATATAGTACAGAAGCATTTGCAAGAAAAAATGACCTTTCAAGTAAAAATGGAGCTATTTAAATTTTCATTGGCACGATACGATTTTAAATATTTTTCAAAGTTGCAAGTACTAAAAGAAAATGAAAAGGTTTCCGACCGGTTAAACATCTTGATAAATTAAGAGAAGACTAAAGCCCTTTATTGCCCGACGGGACTTTTTAGTCCCGCTATCTTTAAAATTTTTTATTTCATTGTGTATACATTATAGCTTACTGAGACTTACATTTTTCATTGTATAAAGTGTTCTTTTTTCCTTTATATGGTAGTAACTTTCAAATTGTTTTTGTTTTGTTGAAAAAAGTTCCACATCATGTGTTGTTTGAATGGTAGCAGCTGATATTGCTTTCTTTGTTGCCAAATTCTACTTATTGTTTATAAGTTAACTGTCTCTGTATTTTTTAATATATATTCTAGATATGTATAGTTTGATTTCAATGCATTATGTTTTTAGAATTAATGATATGCAAGCTGTATGAGATCAAAATATGTTTGGGACTTGTAAGTCCCATCAGGCCTGAGAGAATCTTTTTTGTAAATGTTAGAAATTTGTATTTTCTACATTGTGATTTATAGATTTATGAATTTATTTTACATTTTAATAGTTAATATGGATAGAAGACTTATANGAGAAAAATTAACAACGAGTTGGGTAACTTTCCCGGCAAAGAAGTGAAAATTACGTTTAGCGCCATCTGCTACGAGATTTTTTTCAAAATATATTTATTATAAAATGTCAAAAAGCTTAATTTTGTGGAGAGAATCGAGTTTTATAAAAAAAAAATTGTAAATGTGAATTACTAGTCCAAATTCTCTCGAGATAAGATTTACGACCCCTCGACCTTTAATCACCAAAATTTAACAGCGTCAAGCTCTTCAATATACAAAATTTCAGATAATTTCGACAAAAATCTCAGCAGGTATTAAACTTTAAAGTGGGTGAACAAAATGGTACTTCTCAAAGACATGCAGATAATACTATTAATAATCCCAATTATTTTTATTTATTTTGAATTTCCCGACGTTTCTAGGTTCCCAGCCAGCGGCCGGATGGCCGAGCGGTCAAGGTGGCAGCCCACCGCTCTGGGGGACCCGGGTTCGAATCCGAACGGGTCGAAAAATCCCCAGGAGTTTTTCGGGGGGTGATCCGTTCGGATATGTCGGGCTCTGTCTCTCACCACCCGGCAGCCCCATTGTGGGCCTGGCCGAACTCATAATGGGCTTGCAAAAAGAGGCCCTCTTAGTGCCCACAGGGCGGAGTTTAAAAAATAAAAAACAAGATCCCCAGCCAAAAATATAAAAATCTTTGGGGTGGTCATTTTCGGCCAATCACCATACTTTTCCTTCTGTTATACATAACGAAACGTATATAAAATACAAAATTGCGAGTCTTTCTAGTTCCTTTCTAAAAAAAATTTGAAGAATATTTTAATTTTCTACTGTAAAGATTGAACATTTATTTATTATTTTAAATAATTTAACGATTTTATTTTGTGTGTTATTTAAAATACATAAAATTTACAATTGGAAACGGAAAGTAACGTACGAGAGGATGTAGATAAGAATTTCGATTATAAATTAGAGTCTCAGTCAGTCAGAAGCAGAACAACTTGTCCCCTTTGTCATCTTTTTTCTCATAAATTCGGAAATATATAATTATGGGGGTCCTTATTTTTCCATTTTTAGGAGCAATGTTTCTTGGTCAGTGTTTCGATTTGGTTGATTTTCAGTTTAATCTCGTAAATCCATATTTGGGAATTCAACTAAAAGATTATACAACGGTAAGATTTTTTAAAATGTTTTAATTAATGTGTGTATATATAAACCGTATTTTCTTGTTTTTAGAGAACCCCAATTAACACGTTGGAATCAAAGTTTCGAGTAGTCTCAACTCCTGCAGATTTGGCAACGTTTTTAGGAATGAATATTATCATTTATCTGAAGAAAGAATACAATCTCTGGCCTTACGGTCCCTCCAAGTATTTCTTGAACACTCCTAGAAGAAACAGGTTCGATAAAGTCACCATTGCTGTGAGGATGAATTTAAAAACGGTAAGGATCGTATACAAGAAGGAAAAATCTGTATAAATTACTTTGAATTTACTTGTTTCTGTGCTGAATCTAGAAAGAACACTGGTAATACAGCTGCACCTATCGTGCAGCCTTCATTTGTACACACGAAAGCACTCGTAAGTACACCCGAAAGCCTGAAGGTCTCGGGTCTTCATACACGCACAGAATAATTTAATTCTGCGTTGATTAATTGAAACCACGTTGTATGAAAATAACGTAAAGTAACTGGCACATAACGAAAGATAAACTTAATCAATGCAAAAAAATTCTCAACTTGTGATTTTTTATGAATCTTTCAAGCAATGATGAAGGAATTAACAATAAGAAATTTCTCATTCCAAAAATATTAATTTAGGATAAAGAAACCATTCCAGCTGATACTCCTGTGAATGGAGATTGGGAATCCAAACAGAGAGACTTCGGAGGAACACATTATCTGAAAAGTTTCATACATGGAGCAGAAGTTCAGGCAATTATCGAGATAGGTTCTAAAAACAGGAGCCACTTCGAGGAGATCAAAAGAAGAGTGGAAAGAGAAATTGGATCTAGTGGAAATTTCGATGAAGATTTTAAAGGTAATTTCTCGAAATTGCCGAGATTAAAATAACGAAGAAGTATTTTATAATTTCTAGCTTTACTTCAATTTAATTCTCCCATAATAATTTGAATAAAAAGGTTCTTAGCCTGTTTTCATGCTGAAATCGCCTTTATTACCGCGACGATGCTTGGCTGCAGAAATATATTTTAATTTTCACTAAATTTATTGTAATTTATTGCTACACTTTACACTGATACGATGTATTAATAGAAATTATGCTACGACCATTTTATATTTAATTAAGTAAATATATCTTTGTAGAGAAATTAGATAGTGTGGTAGAAGAAATGGGAACTTGGTACGGACTACCATCAACTTCTGCTTACGGAATGAATTCTGATTTCTTTCTTAATCTTCCAAAATTACTTCAATTGAAGAATAATCTACAGGGAAATAGGTCACTAGTTGTTGAAAACGTGAGGATTCTCTACGAATTTCACAGCTTATCGAAAATATCTTCGATTCCTCCAGTTCAGACGAAGAGGTTTGTTTATATTAAATTCAAAAATGTTATAAAAATGACCATTTTTTACATTGAAAATTCTATTTTATTAGAGAATTCTTAGAACAAGCTGCACGATTGTTGATAATTCGTGAAGATATTGTAATCGCTCGAGATGAGTTAAACTATTTCTTCAGATACGAAATGCCCGATTTAACGGAAGAGGAGGAGGTCGAAGTAAGAAAATTGTGAACTAAAAATTAATTTTGTTTAAGCTTTTTAATGTAAAACACGTAATTTATTGTGTTTTTCGTTTAAAAACCAGTAGTCTATCGTATATTCCTACCTGTGGATCAATTTCTTTCTTTTACAGTTCAGCGAATTGTTTTCCGAAATCGATTCACTGGGTAAAGACATTGCCGTATTAGCAACGGATATTGACGTCACAACGGATGGAGATATTCACCAGTTTGATAATATATTCCTCAACTATGGATCGGATGGTACCGAAAAGTATCGTAAACGTGTTCGGGAATTGATAAGCAGAACCACAAGAAGAGAATAAAATATTTCCTATTCAAATTCATTCTATTCTCACGAAACCAGCGTTTGTATCAACAATAATTTTCACTGTATACTACGAATTCAAATTTAATTACGTATATGTGCTTTTAATCGAAATTAAAATAAAAAATTAAATTGCATCGTACAATTTTCTGTACTTTTGTATAGGATATTGCTTTGTCACATTCACTTTCCTTGCAAATTTGAGCAGCCCTATATTAATAGAACCGAAATGGTACAATGATCTAATTATTTGATTATACAGTACTCTTGTTGTACCTCAAAATATATTTTAGATGAGACTTCATTTTAATAAAGATACGACATTAAAAGATAAAAGTGTAGGAAACACCAATCCACTTGTGTTTTGCACTCATAATCTTCAATTTTTCACTGCAGTTTTCAATATTTTCACGAATTTCAGAAAATCTTTACTTATTGCCGCAATAGAGACTTTCAAGTCGACATCGCGAGTGACGTCATGAGCATGCGCTATTGTCTGGCGACATCTTTGTGGTTTGTTTACGTTTGTGTGTTTAAGCGTGCTTTGGCTGGAGCTCTCGTGTTGTTTATTCGTCGCGAATATCACTATGGTGAATTGTGCAATTGCGTGTAATGCTAGTTCAGTAAAGAACAAAAGAATATCATTTTTTAAAATTCCTGGCATTTTTTCTCATTAAAAAAAAATATTACCCCCAGATGGAACCGTCTCATTGGAAAGAAACAAGCTCAGGATTCTCATTGATTTAGCGTTCTAGCGAGTTAAAATTTTAAATCACATTATATTCATTTTTTGGTGTAACTGTATATTACTTTGAAGGCATTTTTAAATACAATTAAATTAAATTAATCTAAAATATAAACAATCAACGTCCCCCCCCTCAGTGGGCCGCGGTAAAATTATCAAACGTTCAGAAAAGATGGCAAACTTGGCAACCCACAAAGTACAGCAAAGTCTGCTGTCAGCATTTTGTAGGTGAACAAAAAAGTGATCACCTTTACCATCCAGCAACGTTCCCACACTTTTTCCAACATACTACAAGAAACGGGATTGTGGAAATGCAGATAGGTTTTTAAGGCAGGCAAGAAGGAAAGAATTAAAGGTGGAGGAGTGTGGGTAACAGCATGGATGTGGACACCGAAATCACACCTGTGATCACCAAACATGCCACTAGAACACAAACTGATGTAGGGGAACCACTTTATAGTACAGATAATATTGCAGTCTTATTTTGTGAAAAGTTGTGTAATGAGTGGGTACCCAAACTAATACTTATTGTAAAAAACTGTTACCTAAATCTAATAACCAAATAGTATATAACAACTTCTCCAGTGATGACAGTTGAACCCCGACTCACGTTTGGATCTGTTCTAATCCAAGAAAATCTAAGTTTGGAAACGTATCCACATTTAAAAAATTTTTCTCTCCTTTCTTTAAGTTATTTTTCCTCAGGGTTTCGGTAGATATTGCATCAAAACCACACTGCTTTCCAAGAACCATTATTCATTCACTCTGAAAAAGAGAAGCATGTGCCACCTTTGTAACCCCAAGTCTGTTTCCCCGGCATTGCCACTACAGGTAGAGGTGCCTCGATCTAGTTTTGTTGTTCTTTCCACTAACTCTATAGAGCATGCGTAAAATTTTGGTGAGATGGCCTTTATCAATGAATACCTTTCATATCGAAATTTATTGAAGTGTCCATTTTCTAAGATTTCTTTAAAAACTGAAAAGTATTTTTTTGTACTTCACATTTTACCAATAGTAAAATTTGGGTCAGAATCAAATTTCAGTGACACTCCACAACTGGTCAATATATATATCATCATTGAACACAAACATCATCTTCAATCTCTCATTCTGAGTGATTGAATATTATATTTGTGTTCAATGGGCATAAGCCACAGAACAGTGACGAATATGCTTCAATTAGAGTAAATGTAAAAAAGCTGACTGAAAAAGAGAGAAATCAAAATCGTATACATTACATGCCACTTTGGACATGTGTTCTGTAGGTTCATCACCCATGCTATAGATGGTACCCGACTTATCCGTGACAGACAGCTCAAGAGATTCCTGAGGTTCTCACACTGGACTAAATCCCTAGATAGACTGGCCTCAGTGTCAAAAGTTGTCGTGGTCAACAAGAACTTTACACCAGATAAGAGAAACTTACATTATGTTTCTCTTGTATTTACCACACTTTAAACAGAGATAATTGCCAACATGCTACCTAGTGGATGTTCTGTGCAGTAAGAATTGCAGTTGGATATTCTTGTATATCGTACTTCTACTCCAATGGATGTTTGGAACAAGTTGACTTGATCCATTGTTTTCTAAATTGGTTTTGCCAAAGTCTCTCTTTTTTAAACTGTTTCTGTCCCATGGACACAAAGGTGGACTTTTTTTTAGCAAACTCGTTACGAATTCAACCAGACCCACAACAAATTGGCCGGGCGGCAAGGGACAGGACACAATATATCCGGATAGACTGCCACCTAAAAATTTACAGGGCTTTCTCCACCCATCTGGATTGTGGGTCCCTGGACTAATAGGCTGACACCTTAACCATTCAGCCCCTTCCTTGAGGTTTGTAAAATTGAGAGCCAATGACATTAAAATGATACAAGTATTAACAGAAAAAAAACATTTACTACTGTCTCCCCCTCTCTACTCAAAAGGGGGCCTTTTTACCATGCCAAAAATATCCAAATGGACCATCCACAAATAATTCCAGAGGTTCTCCACCCAGACTATTAGCCTGTTGCTCCAAGTCCTTCAGAGCAACAGGCCAATAGTCATGGTTACAAACTTCAAGACATATATATACTTAAATACAAATGTAACATTTCTGTAGTAATGTGTATTTTAAAAAACTTTAATAATTGGAAATTGTAAATGATAAATTCTTAAAAATACAATGATTTTGTAACAGGTACACATACGCATACATACTGGTAAACATTTATATATAATTTTATCTTTGGATTTAAGAGGTAGAGATAAAAGTTGTCACAGTAATTATAAAATGTCCGTTAAAATCATAAAAATGAAACAATACAATCTTTTTGATTAAATCAACAAAATCGTGTTCATAATTTCCTGTTTTCTTTCAGAAAAAAAATTATTGTCTGGCGACTATGCTTCTTTTAAATTCTGCTTTCCGAGGACTTTCATCAGCCGCTTCGGCATGTAGTACGGACGTTCCGGAGATCCATCGTTCCTCTCACAGTCTTCCACTACAAAAGATTAGTAGTATATTAATTATGATATAATATAATGCTTTTCTATAATAAAACCAATTAAATCTTTAAGGCATTCAAATCCTATTGAATTTCTTCTGGAGTTACTAAAATTTCAGGAATATCAAAATTACATAAATATGGATATTGTCCACATCCTATGCCAAAAAAAATCAGAGACAACATTACATAACAAGTAGAAAGTAAAATTTAATAAACTACTAACTGCTACTGAAAAAATTTTATAACAAATTTACTTACAGAAGCAAAGGAAAAGAGTGTCCACAGCCATACTGTACACATCAAAAAATACTGTCGCTATCACAAATGAGCCAAATGTTACGATCTGAAAAGAAAAAAAACTATTGATTCAAATATTTCAGAAACTAAGATAATGAGATTTTATAGTAAATACAGGGTGTTTCCAAATGAATGATATCATTTTAAATTGTTGTAAATTGTGTTAATTATTACCTTGAGAAGCATGCAACATACATAGATTGATTGAGTAACTGAGTTTCTCTCCCCCCTCTGCATTTGAATGTCTTGTTGTGTACTATCTCCAGGAAGCACCATAAATAAAATGGTAATTCGTGCAGGAGCCGTAGAATACAGATCCTTCATGAATTACCATTTCGTTTATGGCACTGCATACAAATTACTCGCATTGCACAATGATGAATAATTCTGACTCTGCAAACTGTAGAACACAAAATGCTCTCTGCATTGTGAGTTGCCATTTTAATTTATGTCGCTACCTAGAGATAATAGAGGAGATATTCCAATGCAGATCAAAGAGTCACAATCAATTGGTGTATATTGCATACTTCTTGGACAATAATTAACATAATTAGTGTAATTTAAAACAGTTGCATTCATGTTGGAAGACCCTGCACGTCATACAGCAACCAACAGAATGCATTTCTACATAACTGAACAGAAATGTACTCGGCAAAATAATTAATCAAGTAATGAACACCTTATTCTTTGCCAAGGGAGTTTATTAAAAACTAACGTTTTCGATCTACTCCATAGATCATCCTCAGGTTGAAACATTCGAATTTGGAATAACAAAAATAGAACGCCAAATTCAAAGAGACAAAACCGACAACGCAGTAACTAATTAAAATAAAAATTAAAGTGTAAAAATACATAAATGTAAAAATAAATAACATACAACTACTAAATAATATTATAAGCCACTATTTGTTAAACCAATAAAAATCATTAACATTCCCATATCGCGATTGCGGATATGGAGCAATTCAAGAGCTACTTGTAAGTTTTTTAACGGCGTACTTCCATGCTGAGGGTAGGCCCTCCGCATCTCTGGCGTTTATGCATTTTTCATCTAACTTGCTCCTATATATTTCCATCTTTTCGGCAGTTTTCGCTAAAGTTGGGGAGCGCACTTCTCTGATGATTTCCGCATCCTCCCACCTAACTACGGATCCTTCGGCCTGAGCCATCTGGGCCAGAACTGTTGTGTTAGATCTTTTTCTAATATCGTATTTATGCTCTTTGACCCTTATTCCTAGGTTTCTCGTTGTAACTCCTATTTACTCCTTTTCTATTCCTAACTGCTGGTTCTTGTACGGGATCCTATACACTCCTGCTTTATCTCCCTTCTTAATATCCCCTTTATCATTTCTTAGGATCTTGTACAGATTCGGAGCTCGTTTTACGATCAACGTTGATCCTTTATTGTCCGCAATCTCCTTCATGACGGTTCTTACATTTTTGTTGAATGTATATTTTGTGTATTTACTAGGCCCTTGTTTAGAGGCTCTTGTATTGCCTATCTCGAATTTTCTAATAATGCCAGTGATTATGTTTCTTCTGTAACCCAAGGTTTCTGCTATCTGCATAATCCTTTTCATTTCTGTCCATAATGTTGTCGCAATATAGAAAAACCCTTCTAACTAAGGCACGAAAAGCTGCTAATTTATAACGAAATGGATCACTGGACTGCGCAGGAATGTAGAATGGGCTATGCGTTGGTTTGGTATACACATTAGTAGATAAATGCCCTTTCTTAAAGGTGATATTGATATCCAAGAAATGTATCACTACAGAATTTTTCTGCTCTAGCTTCTGTGAGAGTAGCCGGGGGTACAACTCCTTTTTGGATGATTCGTACCACTTAATCGGCACAGATTATCCGAAATCTGTCTCCTTAGTTTTGGATCGAGGGATCTGATCTTAAAAAGTTTTATAGGAGGGCTTTAACCGCTAGTTGATCCGAACTGCAAAGTTCAGATGCTCGTCAGGACTGACACCAGTTTGTCAATTAAATTCCGCAGACAAACACGCGTATGAGATCTGATTCGTCACAGAATAAAGAAACATCCCAATTAAAAACGAAATAATAAATTTAATATAACAAGAAAATAAATCATACAAAAATCTCAATGAACGAGAGAAAGAATTTCCACAATTGACATGCAAATCGAGAGATAGCTATACTTCTATTATACCAAATGCGCGATCGAGAGAGAGAGCTCACAAAAACGTTATAAAACATACAACCTGGGTTAGTTGACGTTCATCTTCTTATTCGGTAGGTAAGGGACACCTTGTAGATAAGTTCATGTACTTCTTCGATGGGAGATCAATATGTGCACAAATATAAAAGTATATTTACTAAGTTCAGACTCGGGACTTAGTCTATTGGACGCGTTTAAGGGCGTTGGTCATCAGGAGGAAAACTGTGTGGAGTTTTTCGCTTCGGATCTGTCGTAGAACTCCGTCGCTGAACTCCCCGAATTCGGACTAATTTCCCTTATATCTCCTGAATTTCGACCAATCATCGGCCAGTAACTCTTTCGTGAGAACGGATGAAAGGGGGATGAATGAGGGGTAATCATTTCCCATCTGAGCAGGATTTTAACCAGATAAGGGAAAGTCAGAGGATGTTCTCTTCTGTGAAAGGAAGTAACATCTGTTATCTGGGTTTTTCCCACGTTAAAACAGTATTTTTCTCACCAAAAACGAAGTATTATTTGGTGACATTATTTTACATAATTAATAAAATTATTAACTTAGACCCAGGGGCCTTTCGGATCTCACACTTCAGGTTTAGGCCATCTTTGTTATCGTTGATTCTTTCTATAAAATTACTGATTCCTCGATTACTTTTCCATAGTATAAAGATATCGTCCACATATCTCTTGAAGTAAACAATATCCTTTCTGAAGCTATGCACAACCTTTTCCTCTATTTTTCTTACCACCAATTCGCATAGAAGACCCGATATTGGGCTTCCCATAGGAACTCCCCTGTTTTGTTTGTACGTTTGGCCTTCAAAGCCAAAGAAAGGTTCACAGCATACAAGATTAGCCATCTCTAAAACTTCGTTCCTGTAGTGTATCAACTCTGGGTTTTCTTTAAACAAGAACGCCATTAACGTTTCCAAACAAGACTCGATTTTAATTGAAGGGTATAAACTCTCGTCTTAGAAAAAAGGTTGCATGGTTATATCTCCTCCTTACTGGATAGCAGTGTTCTGGTAGCGCAAGATCCTACAATAGTAGTTAAAGAGTTGCAAGATATAGCTCTGATGGATGAGGAAGTGAGAGCAGTATTAGATTACAAGAGTTTATATCCTTCAATTAAAATCGAGTCTTGTTTGGAAACGTTAATGGCGTTCTTGTTTAAAGAAAACCCAGAGTTGATACACTACAGGAACGAAGTTTTAGAGATGGCTAATCTTGTATGCTGTGAACCTTTCTTTGGCTTTGAAGGCCAAACGTACAAACAAAACAGGGGAGTTCCTATGGGAAGCCCAATATCGGGTCTTCTATGCGAATTGGTGGTAAGAAAAATAGAGGAAAAGGTTGTGCATAGCTTCAGAAAGGATATTGTTTACTTCAAGAGATATGTGGACGATATCTTTATACTATGGAAAAGTAATCGAGGAATCAGTAATTTTATAGAAAGAATCAACGATAACAAAGACGGCCTAAACCTGAAGCTAGAGCAGAAAAGTTCTGTAGTGATACATTTCTTGGATATCAATATCACCTTTAAGAAAGGGCATTTATCTACTAATGTGTATACCAAACCAACGCATAGCCCATTCTACATTCCTGCGCAGTCCAGTGATCCATTTCGTTATAAATTAGCAGCTTTTCGTGCCTTAGAAGGGTTTTTCTATATTGCGACAACATTATGGACAGAAATGAAAAGGATTATGCAGATAGCAGAAACCTTGGGTTACAGAAGAAACAATCACTGGCATTATTAGAAAATTCGAGATAGGCGATACAAGAGCCTCTAAACAAGGGCCTAGTAAATACACAAAATATACATTCAACAAAAATGTAAGAACCGTCATGAAGGAGATTGCGGACAATAAAGGATCAATGTTGATCGTAAAACGAGCTCCGAATCTGTACAAGATCCTAAGAAATGATAAAGGGAATATTAAGAAGGAAGATAAAGCAGGAGTGTATAGGATCCCGTACGAGAACCAGCAGTTAGGAATAGAAAAGGAGTAAATAGGAGTTACAACGAGAAACCTAGGAATAAGGGTCAAAGAGCATAAATACGATATTAGAAAAAGATCTAACACAACAGTTCTGGCCCAGATGGCTCAGGCCGAAGGATCCGTAGTTAGGTGGGAGGATGCGGAAATCATCAGAGAAGTGCGCTCCCCAACTTTAGCGAAAACTGCCGAAAAGATGGAAATATATAGGAGCAAGTTAGATGAAAAATGCATAAACGCCAGAGATGTGGAGGGCCTACCCTCAGCATGGAAGTACGCCGTTAAAAAACTTACAAGTAGCTCTTGAATTGCTCCATATCCGCAATCGCGATATGGGAATGTTAATGATTTTTATTGGTTTAACAAATAGTGGCTTATAATATTATTTAGTAGTTGTATGTTATTTATTTTTACATTTATGTATTTTTACACTTTAATTTTTATTTTAATTAGTTACTGCGTTGTCGGTTTTGTCTCTTTGAATTTGGCGTTCTATTTTTGTTATTCCAAATTCGAATGTTTCAACCTGAGGATGATCTATGGAGTAGATCGAAAACGTTAGTTTTTAATAAACTCCCTTGGCAAAGAATAAGGTGTTTGTTACTTGATTTCTACATAATGTTGATGTTCACTTTGACTTTGGGAATTCTTTGCTTCATTTTTGCAAAACAGAGTTCATTTTACTGATCATCACTAAGGAATCCTCATTTATTCAGAGTCTTAGTAACATTAAAATTTTTTATCATTATTACTGTCATTTGAGTATTGTGCTAAGCATGAGTTTACAAATAGCTTTTGCAGATTCTACTCAAAGCAGAGTCAAATGAGACCACCATCAAAATGTTAAGTGTAGCTATTGTGAGGTTCCAGAACAGGTCAAAACTAAAACTGTTTACATGCTAAAAGTGAAAACGCTATTGTCAAGTCGGACTAAAGGTCACATTAGTTATGTAAGGGAGAGGAAAGAAAGAACTGTAGTTGTTAAAATAAATGTGAAGATGAATGATGTAACGGATCAGGTGGAATGTTGGCCAGGGAAGATAGAACTCTGACATGAGCACTCAAACAATCAATCTAGGTTAGGGGTCCCCAAAGTGGTCGATATCAACCCCTTGGGGTCAATAAGTTCTCCAGGGGTCGATTAATACACGAGGGTCAAAAGGGGGTCGATTAATACCAAAGAGGATCAATTAAATTGTCTACGAAAAAAATAGAATATTCCAATAAAAATTCAAAATATGGATATGATAACAACATTACTGACTACCCTAGTTATAACTTGAGTTTTGCCTCAGCCTACACTGCTTTAAGCTTGTGTTACTCTGTTTTCACGCATCTGTCAACTGTACTAGTGTTGCAAACATTTTATGAACGCTGGTAGTTCATTATACACAGACATACGTTCACTTTAGTTGGGTTGTCACTCTAAGTATTTTATATCTAAATGTAGATATTTTGCCCTTTACAGAGAAAATATCGTAATATATTGAAAATCATTAATATAGTACAGAAGCATTTGCAAGAAAAAATGACCTTTCAAGTAAAAATGGAGCTATTTAAATTTTCATTGGCACGATACGATTTTAAATATTTTTCAAAGTTGCAAGTACTAAAAGAAAATGAAAAGGTTTCCGACCGGTTAAACATCTTGATAAATTAAGAGAAGACTAAAGCCCTTTATTGCCCGACGGGACTTTTTAGTCCCGCTATCTTTAAAATTTTTTATTTCATTGTGTATACATTATAGCTTACTGAGACTTACATTTTTCATTGTATAAAGTGTTCTTTTTTCCTTTATATGGTAGTAACTTTCAAATTGTTTTTGTTTTGTTGAAAAAAGTTCCACATCATGTGTTGTTTGAATGGTAGCAGCTGATATTGCTTTCTTTGTTGCCAAATTCTACTTATTGTTTATAAGTTAACTGTCTCTGTATTTTTTAATATATATTCTAGATATGTATAGTTTGATTTCAATGCATTATGTTTTTAGAATTAATGATATGCAAGCTGTATGAGATCAAAATATGTTTGGGACTTGTAAGTCCCATCAGGCCTGAGAGAATCTTTTTTGTAAATGTTAGAAATTTGTATTTTCTACATTGTGATTTATAGATTTATGAATTTATTTTACATTTTAATAGTTAATATGGATAAAAAAACTTATATATGAATAAATAGATGATCTTTTATCAAAAAAATTTCCATTTGATATTGATACACATCAAAACCACATTCAACATGCACATTATGTAAAGTTTTCTTGTGTGTAAATGGGGAAAAATAGCTTTTTACATTTTTACAAATCATAAATTATTAAACTAATGAATTTTATTTCAGTTTTGACATGCATTTTAAATTTTTTTTTTAAATTTTTAACTTATTATATTGTAAAAGTTATCAAATATTTAATATACAGTATATAATTATGCATTTAATCTGCCAATTTCTCTGATAAAAGTTCTTTATAAAATATTTTATTTTTGTAATATTAAACAAGAAAAAAACTTTTTAAGTTCAAATGTGCAATAAAGCCTCACGGAACTAATAAGTCCCATAATTGAAAAATTTTTATTATACATTTTAATTTTTTTTATTTACTTATCTGTTAATAAACACCTCTTCTGATGATAAAATGAGAAATATAAAAAATTTTTATCAAAAAAATAAAAATTCAGGCAATAAAGGGTTAAAGCACGTTTCGAAGAATATGCCTGTTTCCGAATGGTTTGCTAATCCATGTAAAAATAGATAATGAAGGCAGTGAACCTGGCTTAGAAGATGAATTGAGTGAAATATGTGTAGATCTCGAAGTTAAAGCATTGTTTAAAAATAAAAACCTCAGTGAATTTTGGAGCAATAACAATATTGCTACTAAATATCCCAAGCTCAGAGCAGAAGCCAAACCTTTCTTACTTGCATTCCCAACTTCATATGTGGTTGAAGCTGGCTTTAGCCATGCAAATGCAATTTTGACAAAACAGAGGAACAGACTGAACTCGGAAAACCATGCTGATTTGCAACTAAAACTTACCAATTTTCAACCGAATATCAATAATCTTGCCGCTTCTCTTCAGAGACATCCATCCCACTAATATCAACTATTTTAATAAAAAGATATGTCTACATATTTTTAAGGCATTCAGTAGTAGATGCAAAATGACAGAGGTTTTTTCATCCAATATAACTAATGTTGTGTTTTCAAAGATAAGTGTGTATTTTACACATTATGACATGTACGGTTTAAGAACTATAGGAAAATTTCCATCTATCCATAATTTTGCTATTATTTTTTAAGATTATAAATCAGTGGAAAATATCTCCTTTTTCTGTTATTGTTATTGGGTGGATTTTATAAGATATGGGAACTATAAATTCTTTTTTTGGGTTGTTATGCGGGTCTCCTTATCGCTTAACATTAGAAATGCAAAAATGATTTAATGTTTTTGTTAAATACTTAATCTGGGGGTCAATAAGAAGGCAAATATTCTATAAAGGGGTCAATGGGATAAAAAGTTTGGGGACCCCTAATCTAGGTTAAAGGTTGAAAGATTAAATAGTTAAAAAACATCACGTGTAAATCATTAAAATCCAAAAATTGAAAATAGAAACAACGGGCTGAATTATGGGCGCATGACTTATAGATCTATCAACAAAATCCAGTCAGAATTGATAAAAAGGTATTGGACAGATGCCACAAAACAGATCTTTCTCATGATCTGAATAAGTCTTGGGTTATACCTAGAAACAAAAGGGAGACCAATTGGGAAGTGAGGAAAGGAATAGAGGACCAATCAAAAGGTGAGATGAGGGAAAAATCCTATAAAAACTCCAAATCTCAAGATCAAAACAATGGTTCTCCTCCAATTTTGGCAATGGTTGACCAGTGTCACATCCTCTCTGAACTGTTCCGACTCATCTGGACATTCAAGGACTCATGATTAAGAAGACAATCTCATCTACTTTCTTGGCCCCAGGGCTGCAACGTTGCCACTGACTGTCTGCATGCAACCCTGCAAAATCAACAATCATCATACCCAGTGTCTCAAGGCATTCTATTTTGTTCGTAGTGTAAGTTATGCCAAAAAAAATAAACAGTTTTGTACGGATATATGTCATCTTTGCCTCCAGCATCACCACCCACATATGATCAGTCCCTATGCTTTTCCTGATGTGCAATTAACTGATTGCCCCTAAAAGTCGGCATCTTATCTATTTAATACTTTGCCATAAAATTTATTTAGCAATTTACTTTGTTTACAGATTTGTTTCTCCTGAATATATCTTAATGATAAATTTTGACAAATTCTAGTTTATTTGAAACCGATAAGGTTAATGCATGGATACTCCCAATTGTATTTGAGATTTATTTTGACCTTAGGAACCTTGAAAATGTTTTTGTCACCAGATCACAGTCTCATTCCTTGTTTTGGCCGTTACCTTAGTAAGTGCTAATTCAAAATTGTGTTCTATTTCAGCTCTTTTGAACAGTTCTCGAGTATCTTCTATTATAGTTTCTAATATATCATTTACCCATTAAGGATCATCCTTATATACCTTACTATTGACAATCACTTCTTTTAATTCTATAAATTTTAATCTATGGCCATTGACTATTCAATTTCTTCAACTAGTCATAAATCTTTTTTTGCACTTTTAAACATCTTATCACCATTTACTTATAAAAAAGATGCTCTCATCTTGATAACTACATTCTGGAATTAGTCTCCAAAAAATAGTCTGTTCACAAAGCCTTGGTGTTAAGTCCTCACTCCCAAAATGTCCGATAGTCTGGAGTCTTAAATTCTGTAGACTGCACTAATGTCATGTCTATGGGAAGGCTTCTGATTAAAATAGAGAAGAAAACACTCCACACACAGTTAAAAAACATAACTCGTCAATTTGAAGATTGTTGTTTATTTTCTTCACAAATTTATCAAATGTGGAACTCAACTCTGTTCCCAGAATGTTCTTTTTGATATTGTCATCTACTCTTTCTTCTGACACTAGGTAATGATGTCTGACACAATTTCAACGCACTACAGAGGGCTGTAGCTTGTTGCAAGGTGAATGAAGGGCACTGTATAAATTTGAAATGGCAAATGCAAACAGAGCAAATATGTTTATGTCTTACAAAATGTTAATGTAGATATAGATTTGCATTATTTGAAAAAAGATAAAGTATAACAAATGAAAATTATATTAATTAAATTTCAAGAAAAGAATTCGCTTATTATTCTTATTAAATTGTGTTTGTAATCGCTGGCATTTAATTCCAATAATCAATTTTACTGTTTATAATGAAAATTAATGGCAGTAAATGTGCCTGTACTTTTTCTCATCAATGGAAGAAAATAACATTAAATGAGGAGTTACTGTATATTATCAAATACCGCATTTAAATTAAAGCAATATAATCAATATTGTTCCTCTTCTGCAAGTATCAGTAGAAAAAATATTTGAGAATGTTTATACTCACAATCACAGGAATGATGTAGTAGTTGAGTTCTGGTGTGCGATAGCCAAAAATACTTATTTTTCCACTGAAAAAATAGAAGGACAGAACACCTAGAAATGCAAAATTTAAAATTTATTTAAATTTAGTCATTTCCAGATTTTGTTATATTATTAAAAATCTACTTTTATAAAAAAAAAAAAATAATAATAATAATAATATTTAGAATTTTGTCAGAATTACTTAAAGTAGAATTATACAGAACTGCAACAAAATTTCACCTTAAAACTGATAATTAGTATTAGCCTATACATTACAGTCTTTACATTACAGTATTAGCCTATAGACTATTACAGTCTTTTCACTATGTCATGTCCAACTTGCACCTTCAGAGATGGAATTCTTCACTTTATTATATCAGAGCTTCACATTTACCAATTAAACTTATAAACATTACACCTTTTTTTTATAAATTTCTCAGTAAAAAATTAATGGTTAATGAAAGCAATCTTGGAACCTAAGCTTCTATTTTCCGTATAAAAATTTGTTTCCTTGTAAAAGGAGATCAAGTAAATCAAGGATTAAGCATATTCACGTCTGAATTGTACTTGTATGCTTACATTTACAACTGATTAGAATGAAACTTTTATAATAATAGGTATATTCAAAGAAGTAGGAAAAATTAAAAAAATTCAGTATTATGCATTACATCTTCACTCAATTGTCTCAATCTATAGACGACAATTAAGAGTAATTTAACCACATTAAAATGCTATAATCATAACTTTCAAAGTTTAAATATTTAATTAGTTCAAATATAATATAAGGCATAGTTTTAAAAAATAAAAATCAGGCAGATGCAAGCAATTCAATGGCCAATTTAAGCAACTACACTGCAATTTTGGGGTTGGAATATAGTAATTCTTTTTTGAACTCTATACAATGTAAAGATTAGGATTTTACTATATGTAAATATTATAAATATCAATAAACAAAAGCCATACCTGTTGCTCCAACAACCACTAACTTGCCAATCAGTAGCAGGAAATCTGCAGCTTTATCCAAAACAACTGTTCTGTAAAATAATTTAAACAATTAAATTTTTAAACAACAGTTATTCATGCTTTTTCATTCAGTTATATTGATTTATTTTTTGCTTTTACTTTAATAAATTAAAAAAAAAACAAAAAAGCAATGAGATTACTAAAATAAAAACTTTTAAATATTTGAAAATAGCAATAAAAAATGAAAATGACTGTCTGATCTTTCCTTAAAACATAACAAATGCAATCGGAAAAAGTGTGCAACTTTGCCCGAATTTTTTTGTCACCCAGCTTTGATAAAACTTTGACAAAAATTCTTTTTGGCTTCCCGATTATTTGAAAGGATTTTCTTTTGCATTATGACAACTTCTTGTCAAAAAAATTATCTTATTCCCCTTTTTCTATTGTAGAATATCGAACCTTTACCCCACTTAATACAAAACAAAATATAAATAATTAAATACACTCTCTTACCTTAAAATATTTCTCATAATAAGATTAAAGGCATCTTTGGCAGAAGTGCAAAAATTCTCTCCATACACAGCTATCTGCAGATTTTAATACAATTAAAACTATTGTTAAATAATATTAAAAATAATTTACTTCGCTTACACAAAGTCTTACATTTTGTTTCTTGCAAGTTCTTATTAAAATCGATTAAGAGCTAGGTTGATATAAATTTTTTGTTGTAAAAGCTACAAATGCCATACACAGTGATTATTTCTCAAAACAATAACTGTTTTACACTTTACTAGATATGGCTAAGCTCATAAAACATGAACACCATTGTTACAACTATTTTTGAGGCATAATCAGTGTCACACTGCACACTTCATTAAGCATTCTGCATATTTAATGACCAGATAGGCTTATTTTGGATGGCTGTATTTTACAAAGGGTCACATGTAGATCATTAGTTCCTTGTACTTTTTTTATTTCTACAAGCATGGTCTACAGCTCTGATAAGTCCCAACCATCTCAGAGGTGCATTTGTACTCTGAATTTCTCACTTTTTTTTGATCATTCAGACGAAGAGAGAGTCAGTCATTTCGAGTGTCAAAATTATAACACAATGAAAGTTAAAAGTTATGTCAAGCCTATGAGAAATGTCATTAATGATAAGACATTTTATACAAGCAGCAAGAAAGACTGTTTTCATGTATGTCTCTACGAACAATTCTATAAATGCTACTGTTACACTACCTAATCAAAAGACTTATTAAAATACAAGCATAGTAAAATTCTTGTAAGAAAAGTTAAATAAGTTAATTGCAATTTACCGAAGTTTATTTGTTTTTATCCTTTATAGAATGACACAAAACTACTTAAAGTGTGTTGTTAAACAGCAATTAACAGTAATCACTTACCATTATATAGGCATTTTTATTAATAAATTTCATAAATTTTTCTATACACCAAAAGCAGCACTTGCATAGACTGAAAAATATAAAATGATGTTTAGATTGAATCCTAACAGAAATATTTTTAAAAATTAAGACAAGATAAATTCCCATTTTAGGAAAATGATTAGAATAGCATAAGCTACAACATTTAATTACTTTAAAAACATATTTTTTGTATTTAATTTTCTAAACTAACTTCTTTGAATATTCAATTTTATTGCATTATTCTATGCAACAACCCCTAAACTTACCACATACAAACTTTAGCGCACTTGTACGCTTCTTCATATTTTTTCAGCTTGCTTTCTATGTATTCCAGAAGCAGCCGAATCATCTTGACTATGGTAATTAACAGAGAACCAAACGCCACCGAACCCAGATGATACCTTAAAATAAAAAATACGTGGTTGACATTGGCAATATTTATATAACAAAAATGCCATAAATTTAAATTAAACGACAAATTATTTTTTAATAAAATTTTCAAAAACATCTGTCAACTTCTCAATCTCCAAGTATGCTGTGCTTATTTGAAACAAGTTCAAATTGCATTAAACAAAAGTTTGCCACCCAGAATATTGGATATTCCTTTATGATCTTTCCTATTCATCAAATCCAGAACTTGTATTATCTTGTATTTCAAACGGAAAATATACTATTATTATTTTCAAATAAAAATCAATAACTCAAAATTTCCAAGGAAGTTTTTTTGGCTCACTTTTTTCAAGTAATACAGTAAACTATATACTATATACTACACAGTAAAATATTATATTTATGCCATGTCAAGGTAAGTGCTTAAAATAGGTGGAGTGCCTCATGGGGTCAAGTTAATATACAACTATCACTGGTCAGACTGGTAAGAAACCAGCATTCTAAATTATTTAATCTGGAAGCAAAGATCAAGCATAAATGATGCCACATCTGCATAGTATGTGGGAATTTTGGGTTCAAGTCCCACTCTGGACCATTCTAAAGTAATTAATGTAATTCTAATTATTAAATTTAATACAAGATGGCAATTTAACCATATTTAGTCCAAATTACTTTATATATTTAATTAGTCAAGTTATTGCTCAACAGATCTGAATTACTGTCTGATTAATCCTTTCAATATAATTGGTATTGCATCAAAACTTACAATGAATCAAATTTGCATTACAGATAACATTGCACTTAAACGGGACTACATTGGGTAATAGAATTTAACTGATTAGAAAGACAGCACAAAAAATTGTTACAAGTACATTTAAATGGCATCCGAAGCAAGTACCGAGTCAATTTAAAAGGATGGAAAGATAAAATGATTATTCCTTCATTCTAAATATATTGATAGAATTAGTTATGTAAAGTATTTATTTATACCAGCATGTACAGCCTTCTCAGCATGAGAACAGCATGCTGCTTACAGGCAGCATGTTCTCATGTAAAAGATTAGCACTTTTCATTTGAGAGATAGTCAAGTAGTGTGAGAACTGAGGGGGTGGAGCGTCGAGCTTCTCCCCACTTACTGGCGGATCTTGTCAGAAATGGTATTTAAAAGGGCTAAAAATAATGTGAATGGGGAGGTCTGTAAGTTGACAGGTTCCCGATTAATTACTCAGGTTTAATAAAAATAATATATTTAATAGACATCTTTAAAGTTACATAGAAGAAGGAAAATTCAAAAATTGATACTAATAGAAATAATCAAAAATCTGACCTATCTCGCAACAATGATTAGTCTTCCCTATTCCGCGTCCATGTTCTATCCTAAACTAAAGAACAAGAGAGACCTCTCTAAGAGGGACGTGTCGGAGAGAGAGACAAAATTCGTTCAAGGGTTTACCTCATAGGATTCGATCTCGTCGTATTAGGCGTTAGTAGAATGCTCTGGGATCGGAGATTCCTAAGCGTAGTCTTTTCAGGTCAGAGATTATGGTGGGTTGGGATGGACAGTATGGCAGTATGAGTCTGGTGTCCCTTGATGTATGCTCTTCTATGTCCGTTTCTGGGTTGTCTGTCTGATTGTATCAGCCTTGGCTGTCCATTCGTATGGGTCCGCTTGGCTGAGTCCACCCAGAGGTGCAAATGCAACCCCTTTTTATACGTGGCTTGGTATGGGAATCATCGAGGAAAATCTGATGAAATCGCTTCTGCGGCTAGCATTGTTTATGTCAATCGAACGGTTCTTTTGATTTTGGATGTGAGAAAGCTGTCACTTTCTTAAATTAATGGCCACAGGCGGCTAGAATCAAAACATCGACGAATTCACTGCCATTGCACCAACAGAGCTGCCAACAACAAAGCTATCATTACATGGGTGATAACCGGCCATGTCTATCCTTGTATTTGACCCTTCTTTGCTCCCCTCTATCATGTAACCTGTGGAGATTCTTGTTAATTGGCCTTATTTTTTATGTTTTATTGAAAGTGGAACTGAATAAGCTCCTGCTGTGAGAGTAGAACCTTCACAGCAGGAGCTTATTCAGTTCCACTTTCAAAGACCAGAACCTTCAAAGACGTACGTAATGTCATCCTCATTAGTGACGCAGTACACTTATAGGTCAAAAGGTCTAGCCTTTACTCAAGTGAGGGATGTAAAATAGAAATAATGTTAAAATTAAAAATTTCCGACGTCTGAAAATGTACACAGTACTGTTACACTACTACTGGGTGATTACAGACTGTGGACATAGTTGTTGTCCCCAGTTGGCACCATGAGTAATCGTGGATAATTATATCTAAAATTATATATGTCTGGAAGCGAAGAGTCACATGGAGGTCCAGATAGCATAGCTGGCAACACACCCACATGGTAAGCAGGCATTGAGGGTTCAAGTCCCACTCTGGGCCAATTCTTTTCTTCCAGAATATTCAAAATTATATATATATAAATGGACATGTGTGTCCCTATATTTCATTTTTTAGCCAAAACTACACATTGCACATGAATGGTGTTTGTATGTGGTAGTAGCCCCGAGTCTCCATTCATGCACTATGGTGGTTGCGTCTCGATAGCTATAAGGGTGTGGGAGATATGGGGTTGAAAGTGGTTGACTTCGAAGATGTGTAACAATGGAAGTGTTAACAATGGAAGTGTTAACAATAGAAGTGTTAACAATGGAAGTGTTGAGTAACAAAGGAAGTGTTAATATAAAGCGGCCTGCAAGATTTACAGGAGGTTTTTTGCGTTTTAGCGGGAAATCGAACATATTTTTAGACTCATGTAAAAATTTTCTAATTAGTCTGGAAACGGGGGACCCAATTCTTGCATTCTGTGAAAACGGGTAAGATTGGCTATAATGTAAATATCTTAATCTTCACTATCGTTACTTTTTTTGGCGCGAAGCGGGTCCATTTAATACAAGATGGCAATTTAACCATATTTAGNGAATTAAAAAATATTAAAATTACATAGATTACAATAGTAACAATAAATAATAATAATAATAATAATTTCTAACCAAGTATTGCTTGATTTTAGCATTCTTCAATTTCTTTTCTTTCATATTTTTCAAATTACTTGCATCCGATTGCAGATTTTTGATTTTCAATTCCAACCTGATCTTCCATTTTGGTTTTTGGTTTGACTTTCTTGTTGGTTGCATTGGTTTTAAGAGCCTCAACTCCTCTGTTACTACCAATGCGGTACTGTAGGCAATCTGATTTGTCTGCTCAATGGATGTTATTTGGATAGTAGAAAGTAATGCATTCACGTCCTTCACGATAGGAGCCAGATATTTTTTTGGTATCATTTTCAAAGGTGGAAGGCGCTTTCTTACTGCAGTTAATACTGCATGAGCCATGATTTTATCCTTAAGCTCTTGTTGCCTTGTTGTTAAAGTTCCTGTTTGTTCACCCAGTGCCTCAGCTGCCTGTCCTTCAAATTGCTGTAAAGAGTTCACATTTACTTCCGGTTCAGTGTGTTCTGATGCTCCAGATATCATCGGAGTTTCTGCCACTGTCAGATGTGAGAACTGCTGCTCAGCAGTCTCACTGAGCCTCTCAATCTCTTCAAGTTCAAGTTCACTGAACACCTTAGTTCTGACAATAAATCTTCTCTGATCAGCAAGTTGAAGTTCAGTTATTTGTGAATCAGGGTGTTCTTGTTTCCACAGTTGGTGCATCCACTTTTGGTATGCAAGGAATCACCCTGAAAAATGGAATCTTTCAGGGTGATTCCTTGTCGCCATTGCTCTTTATCATTGCCATGATACCTCTGTCAATAATCTTATGACAAACAAACTTTGGTTATCAAACATCAAAAAAATCTCAAAGAATTTCACATCTGCTATATATGGATGACTTGAAGCTCTATGGAAAAAGTGAAACTGAAATCTGCTCTTTGACTAACACTGTCCGAATCTTCAGTAACGATATCAGAATGGAGTTTGGACTGGACAAGTGTGCAACTGTGGCACTGAGGAGGGGCAAAATCACAGAAAGTGAGGGTATTAATATGCCAAATGGTCAAACCATAAAGTGCCACCAGCCAGAAGCCTACAAATACCTGGGCATACTGCAGCTGGACAGTATCAGGCACAAGCAAGTGAAAACTCTCATTAGTAGAGAGTACACTCAGAGGATTAGAAAGATTCTCAAAAGCAAGCTCAACGGAGGCAATACCATCAAGGCCATGAACACCTGGCCTATACCTGTCATAAGATACACTGCGGATTTTATAAACTGGACACAAGCAGAATTGGACAATCTCGATAGAAAAACAAGAAAACTCATGACCATTTATTGTTCGCTACATCCGCGCAGCGATGTAGACCAGTTGTATCTGCCTAGAAGGTTGGGTGGTAGAGGCCTATTACAAGTAAAACAAACTGTTGAAGAAGAAAAATATGCACTAGCAGAATATGTCAAGGACAGTGGTGAGCCTGCATTGATTGCTGTCAATGATAGAAAACTCCTTAAAGCACAGCAGACAAAGAATCAGTATAAGAAAATTACATTACAAGCTAGAGCTGACAGCTGGCGTAATAAGGTGTTACATGGACAGTTCCTGGACAAAATTGAAGGAAAATTGGATAAAGAAAGAACCTGGTTATGGCTTACCATTGGAGCATTGAAGAAGGAGACAGAAGGCCTGATTTTTGCAGCCCAGGAACAAGCAATCAGAACAAATGCAATTAAGGCAAGAATCGAAAAATCTGCTGATGATCCAACCTGCAGACTATGTAAAGAAGCTGTTGAAACTATTGATCATATTCTCAGCTGCTGCAAAAAAATTGCACAGACAGACTATAAACAGAGACATAATTCTGTGGCCAAAATGATCCATTGGAACCTGTGCCACAACTATCATATACCTACAGGAAAAAATTGGTGGAAACATAATCCCGAAAAAGTAGTTGAAAATGATTGTGTCAAAATACTATGGGACTTCCGGATTCAGACTGATAAAGTTCTGGAACATAATACGCCAGACTTCACGATTGTGGAGAAGAAGAAAGTGTGGATCATAGATGTCACCATACCGGGTGACAGTAGAATAGATGAAAAACAACAAGAAAAACTTAGCCGATATTATGACCTAAAAATTGAACTGCAACGTCTCTGGCATAAACCAGTACAGGTAGTCCCAGTGATTATTGGCGCACTGGGGGCTGTGCCAAAAGATCTTAGTCGGCACTTACAAGCCATAAATATTGACAAAATTACTATCTGTCAGTTGCAAAAGGCCACCTTACTTGGATCTGCTCGCATCATTCGAAGATATATCACACAGTCTTAAACGCTTGGGAAGTGTTTGACTTGTGGTTTTGTGTTTTTGTTAACCAGCATTTCTACCCTATTTGCTGTGTGGACATTGGAATAATAATAATAATAATAATAACTCTCCCGTACATCACCTGGTTGTGGTGGGAGAGCCCAGTAATTTTACTGAACCATAGAGCAATGCAGGCTGGAGCACAAGCTCCTGGTAGGGATACCCATGACAGTAATGTCTATGGGGAGAAATAAGGCTAAGAGTGACCACACCCACATTCTGTGGAGATATTTATCATAGTAGTAACCAGATCGAAGTGTGATGCCGACTTGGACATCGCCTGGGTTAACAAGGTCTGCGTTCGTGGGTTAGGCAGAGGCTCATGTTAGAAAAATAGGCCACTTTGTTACTGGTGGCAAAAGCAGCACTGACCCAAGCATGGCTACTGCAATGCCCTCAACAGATGTGAAGAACCAACCTAAGCTTGGTATTTCTGTGGCAATGTATCCACAGACCACAAAGACTGGAAAACCACACCAACGGATGAAATGAACATAAAAAATGAACGAGTTTATCATCTGTACTTACTACACAATCGCAAAACTCGAAACAAACATGACATCATACAGACAACAACTACACCATAGATTCACACAACACTATCCTCACCTCACTGTCACCGAACAAAGGGTTGTTGATCAAAAACGACCTTACGCAACAACCTTACATACACAACAATCTTATCCCACAAACAACACTTGAACTTATCAAACAACAGGTTGCTGATCAAATACATCAATAGACAGAAACATTTAACATTATTAATGAAGATCATGCAACCTGTCAGGATAATCCAGCAACAAGCATTGATAATAGTACACATACAACAATTACAACTAATGATACTACGGGCACTTCCTCATCCATCACTGATAATGTAGACATAGAATTACTTAATATGCTCTCACTTAAATTTCAGGAAACACTCACTAAATATACAGGTACAGATCCTACACAAAGACCATAAATACCGAAAATCAACACGTCAAAGGTAGTAGGAAAAACACTAAATTATGTAAATACTCGCTTACTACCAAACTACATTCATTCAATTTCTACACTCTCAGACATTCATACATTAGTTTATGCTGGGGCAGTCACAGTAGTAACACACCATGGACTGAAAATACAATCAGACAAACACACACAAAACACAATTCTATCACAAGCCTACCTGGCAGAGAAGAATAGAAACACAAATAAATGACATTAGACAGCAATTAGACAGGCTGACACAATACACTAAAAACAACGTAACACCCAAATTAAAGAAACAACTCAAAAACATTTTCAAGAAAATCAAAACATACAGAAAACACGAACATTGCAACACACATATTACAGAATACATCGATACACTAAAACAAAAACTCACAGCCAAAGCACTTAGACTCAAATGATACAAAACATGTATACTATGAAAACAACAAAATAAATTACATTAGAGCATCGATTATCTGACTCAATTGGGGACTTGGGTTGGTCGGATAACTGAAAAAATCGGATAACCGAAAAGGATGAAAAAAATACATTATTAGTATAGTATATCCCATGTAATTAGTATATCGCTATTAACCTACTTCGCGTTAAATTTTCATCGATGTTAAACCTAACAAAATTTTTTAAAATAATAATCGTCGCTATTGTATCGTTAAAAGTTATTTTTAAATTATTTTATTGCTCACAAAACAAACCACTCATAATTAGAAAATTAAGTCTCGTTTAAATACTGGCCTCCCTTTCATGGCCGAGCCAGTGTTGCCAGCTAAAACATGTAAAAATACTATTAAAGTAACCAAGACATAGCCAAATATTGTAGCGCCACATCACNGTTGGTCGGATAACTGAAAAAATCGGATAACCGAAAAGGATGAAAAAAATACATTATTAGTATAGTATATCCCATGTAATTAGTATATCGCTATTAACCTACTTCGCGTTAAATTTTCATCGATGTTAAACCTAACAAAATTTTTTAAAATAATAATCGTCGCTATTGTATCGTTAAAAGTTATTTTTAAATTATTTTATTGCTCACAAAACAAACCACTCATAATTAGAAAATTAAGTCTCGTTTAAATACTGGCCTCCCTTTCATGGCCGAGCCAGTGTTGCCAGCTAAAACACACAAAAATTTTTAAAAAATATTAAAGTAGCCAAGACATAGCCAAATATTGTAGCGCCGCATCACTAGCGGACGTTTGAAATTTGCCGACTAGAATGGTCGGTTAACTGATGTGACGGTTAATCAGGGATCGGATAATCAATACTCTACTGTATTCACAAACAATGAAAAACTTTTCTACAGACAAATCAGTACCAAAACAAACACTGATACGCAGCACAGTGGCATATCAACAGAAGAAGAACTCACAACTTATTGGTCTTCTCTTTGGTCCAATGCTGTTACACACAATGCTGATGCAGGCTGGATCAAGGAGGAGAACAGAAACTTGCATAACATACCAACTATGCCCTGTGCTGAAATAAACAGAACACACAACTGGAAGACACCTGGTGTAGACAACATTCACAATTTCTGATACAAAAAATTTACATTACTGCACCAGGAACTAGCTAAACATCTAACACACATCATCATCAATCCACAAGACATGCCAAAATTTCTTACTCAGAGCATTACCTACATCAGTGTTTCTCAACCTCTAACGAATCGTCACCCCCTTCAATAAAACCGTTACATAGTATTGCCCCCTTCACTTCAAAATTCCAATGTCGAGGGCCAAGGCTAACACCAAATTCATACTGCATTGAATAGACTAGTGACTAGTATAATGTTATTTGTTTAATTATCATACAATATAAAGAATAAAATATCTAATTATTCTTAATATAATGTTTTACTATATCNTCGAGGGCCAAGGCTAACACCAAATTCATACTGCATTGAATAGACTAGTGACTAGTATAATGTTATTTGTTTAATTATCATACAATATAAAGAATAAAATATCTAATTATTCTTAATATAATGTTTTACTATATCGCTTAGAAAATGTTTTTTGCCCCCTAAAATATAAATTGTTACTAATCGCCCCCTCAACATGGAAAAATGCCCACATGGGGATGATATCGCCCCGTTGAGAAACACTGACCTACATGAAACCTAAAAACATCATCATCACAGACCCCACACAATACAGACCAATTACATGTCTTCCAACACTCTACAAATTATTGAAATCCTGCATTGCAAACAAAATATACAAACATGTTGAAGAACACAACATTCTTACAGAACAACAAAAAGGTTGCCATTAGAAATCACAGGGGGTGCAAAGAACAGTTACTCATAGATTCAGTCATTCTACAGCGAGCACACAAACAACACAGAAACATACACATGGCGTATATAGACTACAGAAAAGCATTCAACCGTGTTCCACACAGTTGGCTGCNCAAAAGTGACAGTGCTGCCAGCTAAAACACATACACAAACATAAAAAATATTAGAGTACCCCAAGATATAGTCAAAGATTGCAGCGCCACAGGACAAACGAAAATTTTAATTTGCCGACTGAAATTATTTCGGATAACCGACGTTTCGGATAAACGACGCTCTACTGTACGTCTTGTTTGAAGTAAAAAATATAAAAGAAATTATCATGAAGTATGTATAAAATTATCACTTCATTGACAAATGAATAAATTGTTAGTTAAATCATTATATTGCAATATTTCAACATTGCTTTTAATTTTGAATGATATTCACAGAATTTTATTGTGTTGTTCTTTTGAATATAAATGGGAAAAATTATTATTTTTGTAGCTGTTTATACGTACTTCATTTAAAATATTCAAATTTATGATGAATTGTCACTGATATTTTCAAAATATTAAAAATTTAAGCAAACGTTTCAAAAATATATTTATATCTGTTTGNGAGTGTGCAAAACGGTTGGCAACTTTGTTGCAAATATGATGCAATGTTGGAAGACTGAACTATTTGTTGGCAATATAAGCTATGGAATGGTCAATGTTAGGCGTGGGATCTTTCAGGGAGACTCCTTGTCGCCATTGCTCTTTATCATTGCCATGATACCTCTGTCAATAATCTTACGACAAACAAACTGTGGTTATCAAACATCAAAAAAATCTCAAAGAATTTCACATCTGCTATATATGGATGACTTGAAGCTCTATGGAAGAGGTGAAACTGAAATCTGTTCTTTGACTAACACTGTCCGAATCTTCAGTAACGATATCAGAATGGAGTTGGGACTGGACAAGTGTGCAACTGTACAGTCCCAACTCTGAGGAGGCACTGAGGAGGGGCAAAATCACAGAAAGTGAGGCTATTAATATGCCAAATGGTCAAACCATAAAGTGCCATCAGCCAGAAGCCTACAAATACCTGGGCATACTGCAGCTGGAAAGTATCAGGCACGAGCAAGTGAAAACCGTAATTAGTAGAGAGTATACTCAGAGGATTAGAAAGATTCTCAAAAGCAAGCTCAATGGAGGCAATACCATCAAGGCCATGAACACCTGGGCTATACCTGTCATTAGATACACTGCGGGTATTATAAACTGGACACAAGCAGAATTGGACAATCTCGATAGAAAAACAAGAAAACTCATGACCATTTATTGTTCGCTACATCCGCGCAGCGATGTAGACCGGTTGTATCTGCCTAGAAGGTTGGGTGGTAGAGGCCTATTACAAGTAAAGCAAACTGTTGAAGAAGAAAAATATGCACTGGCAGAATATGTCAAGGACAGTGGTGAGCCTGCATTGATTGCTGTCAATGATAGAAAACTCCTTAAAGCACAGCAGACAAAGAATCAGTATAAGAAAACTACATTACAAGCTAGAGCTGATAGCTGGCGTAATAAGGCGTTACATGGACAGTTCCTGGACAAAATTGAAGGAAAGGTGGATAAAGAAAGAACCTGGTTATGGCTTACCAATGGAGCATTGAAGAAGGAGACAGAAGGCCTGATTTTTGCAGCCCAGGAACAAGCAATCAGAACAAATGCAATTAAGGCAAGAATTGAAAAATCTGCTGATGATCCAACATGCAGATTATGTAAAGAAGCTGATGAAACTATTGATCATATTCTCAGCTGCTGCAAAAAAATTGCACAGACAGACTATAAACAGAGACA